TATATAGCTGATATTTTAATTACCCTTTATAATACAGTCCACTTTGTAATAAAAACTTCAAGAATGATTAAACCTTTATTCTACTGAGCTACCGAACAACTTTGATAAAATGGTAAAGAAGGCAACTTAGATCACAGATGATATTATGCTTGTAAAGAAAAAATTCTTTCATTTTTAAAATATATTTGTTAGACGAGTTCACTCACCTATCATTCAATGAAGAGAATACCTTACACAATATAATAATATTATTTAAATTATTAATTTAAATAGATATATTAAGGGCTTTAAATGTGACAGGTAAGTGAATATATTGTTACATGAATTTATTATAGTTATAATTTTATATTCTCAATATTTTAGTATTTGTACTACAGAGAATGCAGTTGTCTAAGCAAAAAAATTATTATAAATCTATGTCCGGAGTATTTGATATCATCATATCGAGGGCTGTAAAGTTATTTGGTTTAATGGACATTTCGCTTAACACGCGACATTTATCTTTGTAATTAAGGTTCGTTTTAATTGGTCGTCGGCATCAACAGTTCGATGATTTTATGAACTTGAACTTTAATTAAGAAGTGTTTTTTTTTTTCATAATATTTTTCCAAATTTTAAACTTTAAATGGTTCTCCACGGTAACCACTGACCATCAGGTGGGCCGTATGCTCGTCTGCCTACAAGGGCAATAAAAACAAAAAAAGAGGTTGCACGCCACGACACTTCCCAATAAGTCGTGTTTAAGGAACACAGATATGGATTAAAGTTATCGGCATAATGATGGCGTGACGACGTGTAACAACTATAGCGAAATAATTAAAACTTATAATTATATTTTGGTAACAGGCGTCTTAATTGAGCTGCATTGTGAGCAAACATCACCTTAAGCACTTCATCTCTTTGGAAGAATTCACATAAAAACGCAACAGATAATTAAACCATAATCTCCCAAACAATTCTCAATAGGCACTGCAGAAATGTTATTTCAAAATTAGAAAAAAAAAAGTAGCAACTTCCGCATTTCGACGGATACCGCCTATTTCGATCGGATTAGAAACGATGTTAAAAGCCTTAAAATACGCATTAGCACGCCTCCAGAGCCACCTGGTTCGATTACAAAAAAAAAAAAACAAAAAAAACTTCCGACAATGTAGCGGGTAATCTTTACCGACTGAATAGGAAGCACTTGAGCCCGTCGACCGGTTTAAAAAAATATCGCCCTCCATTGTGTTGGCAGCCCTCGATAATTATTATTTTCGTAGTTGGCGACACTGCGTTGAACAATGACGTCGGTAGGGTTGCTGCCGGGGTTAATGTTTTTGTGCANAAAAAAAAAAAAACAAAAAAAACTTCCGACAATGTAGCGGGTAATCTTTACCGACTGAATAGGAAGCACTTGAGCCCGTCGACCGGTTTAAAAAAATATCGCCCTCCATTGTGTTGGCAGCCCTCGATAATTATTATTTTCGTAGTTGGCGACACTGCGTTGAACAATGACGTCGGTAGGGTTGCTGCCGGGGTTAATGTTTTTGTGCAGTTATTTTGTGGGCTCATTTGAATTGTTGTTAAATAAAGATCAATAAATTTAACATCCTGTGTTTTTACTCGTTCATTTTCTTTCGAATCACAACAGCTCCATCGATAATCGGCGATTCTCAGAGATCACCGATATCGGGAAACCGATATGTATATCGACCTATAACAACTTTTATACTCGACGACACGATATCTAATTTGTATCGACGTTAGTTTATCGTTATCGGTGAGTAAAAATGTCCGTAATGAGCTTAGAAGTTTTTTTATATTTACAAACATTTTTTAACGTCTTTAATACATTAAACAATTTACTTTACGACAATTAGTAACAGGCTGTCAATCGTGAGCATTCGCGAACACACTACACGTTAACTGCATGACCAAATAATTGAAATATATCGTGTTCGGGTTCAGTCTCGAACCTTCGAACGAACTCTAAGCGAGCAATTAAAAAAATAGTTTTACTGAAAACCTGTATTACTTTGACAACGACATTGTTCGATAATTTTCTTTATAATACGTTTAATACCATAGGTTACTAGACCTTTTACCCACCCCAAGGTGTAACAAAGTTTATGAATTATTCTCAGCAAAATCGCTCAAATTTATCAAGACTTAAACTTTGAGAAAATAACTTTTTTTAAAGACCAGAGAAGCGTTTTTTGACGATTTGTAAAATTTCCCCGCACTTAGCGCTTTCTTAAATACATCATGATTTAGTTCCAGATTAATACACATCTAAAGAAACACTGAATTAAAACTAAAACGATTCAGTGATTCACTTGACGAATCCCGTTCCCGCCAAAAAGTTTGTCCCTATTCAATTCCAGTTTCCTGTTTATATTCGCGCGCTATTACACGTCAATGGTCGAGACAAACGGATGGGCCAATTTCGAATTTGAATTTCAAATAATGGAAGGCATTCGGAACGACCGTTGCATGTGATCTCCTTTTTTCCGTAATGACATCTCTTTTTGGCGGGTATTGTCACATTGTTGATGTTTATACGCCATTTTTTTGTACATAATTACGAGTACTAGTGGTCCCTCGGTAGTCGAAATTCGACTATAATTATTTGAAATTAGAAGTAAGACTTCTATAACCACAAATTTCGCCAAGACTGCACTTTGGACAAATATTAATAAAGAAGACAAACAATATTTAATCTATTCTGAATTTGACCACAGACTATAAGCAATAAGAACAGTTTGACAATAAACAAATAGTATGCATGCGTGTGTGTCAAATACATGGTGTATAATGTTTTTTTTTAAATTAATTTAATGTATTTTTTATGCATAATATAAATAAAAAATATTAACATTCTGCACTCCTTCTCTATATTCTCTATAAGTGTGGGAAATTTCATAATCTTCCGTCCGCGCAATTTTCGAAAAAAAGGGTACAAAGTTTTTGCTTCACGTATTAATATATAGATTACTAACTAAGATGCGTCTGGTTCGTACGTTGGTCTTCTTTATCTTCCTGTACGGGGTGGAGACTTGGTGTCTCAGGAAAAAGGAACGCAAAAAGATTGAGGCGTTTGAAATGTATTTCTGGAGAAAGCTGCTACGCATTCCTTGGACAGCTATGAGAACCAATGTCTCCATCCTCGAAGAGCTGAAGGTCACCAAGCGCCTGCTGACTATGTGCCAGGAAAGGATCCGGAGTTTCTTTGGGCACATAATGCGATCCTCATTTCACAGCCTGGAGAAACTCACAATTCTCGGACAACTAGAGGGGAAGCGCGCTAGAGGAAGAGCGCCAGCTAGATGGGTTGACCAACTCAAGGAGGTGACTGGAGCCCAGATACAGGGAGCGGTACATATGGCGCAGAACCGGACCGAGTGGAGAAGATTGACATACAGTCACGATCCTCAGCATTGAGGGAACGACCAGAAAGAAAGAATTAATATATAGATTAAGCACACAGATTCCCAAACATTTTGGGATAGGCCAGAAAAATAAAATTTATGCGTAGATAAGAGATACTGCTTTTGCTAATGCATATAGCATTAAGATGCCGCAAGGTAATGATATGTTTTGATAGAAGATACAGGATAGGGCGTTCTTAAGTTTCCACCTCTCGGGATGGCTGGCGGGAATGTCTATAAAATTCCTGCTAACCATCACGTTTCAGTCGTAGGCTGTATGTCAAAATTAAATATAGACAAAAACAACAAAAATTCCCAATTAAATAACAATCGTGACGTGACTTAGGGCTGTCCCCCAGCACGGTCGAGTTAATTGAGCCACTCGAGCACAACTCCAATTAATGCCAGCCCTAGTTACGAAACAATGCAACGGGCGACGTTCGTGCTTCCCGAGCGCGATATTACAGCTTTTGTAAGCTTGATTGCTTGATTATTGTTGGCTTTTTAGCTTTAGGAATTCGAATATATGAAGACTTTAGAACCGTGACGTGAGATCTAATTTTGTACCAAAAATAGATTTTAATGTATTCATGTCAAGTGTTATGGAGTGTTTTTTCATGGAGTGGACGAATTTTGTTATCAATTGTTGTGTGATCGAACCTAATTGTGAAATGGTTACTAGAGCTCATAGACATCACGCCGTGGAAGCCATCACCCACCTTGAGACATGAGGTCGATGACTCAATTACATTTTATATCGGTTATCCCGCCGTTCAATCAGTAACGCGTGACAGCTAACGCCCCCTACTGCCAGTAATTATGTTTTATGATTATTACGGGTTAGATCTTTATACGACGAGGTTATTCCTTCATCGAATAAGACATTCGTAAACATGAATTAAGTACATGTTTCCTTAGACCAATGCACCTGGGCGATCTTGAACAACGGTCCCGACCACGCCACGCCCGGACACGCTCCAATGTGTTAGTTGTATGAACACATCCACCGGTCGTACCTCGGAGGTACTACGACAGAATACTCTCCTGGAGGAAAAGCTGTGACGGTACCAAGTCTACGGTATCGAGAACGTTAAAAACCTTTTTTTTATTGCTTAGATGGGTGGACGAGCTCACAACCCACCTGGTTAAGTGGTCACCGGAGCCCATAGACATCTACAACGTAAATGTCGCCATCCACCTTGAGATATAAGTTCTAAGGTCTCAGTGTACATAGTTACAACAGCTGCCACACTCTTCAAACCGAAACGCATTACTGCTTCACGACAGAAATAAGCAGGGCATGGTACCTATCCGTGCGGACTCACAAGTGGTCCTACCACCAGTAATAACGCAAATTATAATGTTTGCGGTTTTGATTTTTATTACACGATGTTATTCCTTCACCGTGGAAGTCAATCTTGAACATTTGTTAAGTACGTATTTCATTAGAAAAATTAGTACCCGCTTGCGGGATTCGAACAGCGGTGCATCGCTACACACGAATGCACCGGACGTCTTATCCGTTAGGCCACGACGACTACATGCTTTTCAAGCACTCGCACTAAGAGTTGTGTACTCTGAGCGGCTTACCTCGCTGCGGGTTGTGCGGGGGCGGCACCGAGGCGTACGCCCTCTCCCTCGGCAGATGATGTCCCAGCATCCTGCGCCCGGCCGACTCCAGACTGGCCACGGTGTTGGAGCGCACCATGCCTGTCGACCGCACTTGGGATGATTATTTCAACTCGCTAAATTCTAATAACAAATGACGTCACGCGAGCTGTATCCGTCACAGTTCTACAAGCGTCAATAAAACTTTGGGCAATAATTGAAAAGTCAATGTACGGTAGGTATCTGTCTAAGTGAGATTGTCATTAAATATACAATTTTCATAGGGGTATAGATACAAATTCCTAATAATACTGAAAACATGTACAAATTTTCGTCTATATATTACGTAATCATGAATAAAAAATGTATTTAAAAAAAAGTATTTCAATTTTGAAATATGCTGCTTAATCCCTAATATCCCTAAACTAGTTAAAAAATAACTAAAATTATTGTTCATGTAATGTATTAAGTTACTGTCATCTGTGACAAATTTTGATACAATTGAGTTAGTACAATAAATAAAAAATTATAAACGTCAAATAGATTATTTTACTGAATTAGACACAAGATGACGCGTGAAAATTGATGATGATAAAATATATTTAAAGTTTATGTGTCTGGTGATAAAAAGCATTACCTACTTTATTTGAATGAGCACAACGCTTTCTCGACTCGTAAGGAGTGAAGTTCAATTAAGATTACCGATCTGCGGTCTCCAGTTCCGGTGCTCCCTCTGGTCGAGGGCTCCGGGCTTGAGCACCCGGGGCGGCGCCGTGGCGCGCTGCAGCCGCCGCGCCGGGAACACGAACTCGTCCGGGTACTGCGGGTCCTCGAACCGCACCACCACCACGCGGTTACCCAGCACCGGCGCCAGCCCCACCACCGGGGACGGCAGCTGTCTGCGGGGACATCACGTACGCAATTTAATTTGGACAAGGAACAGTTCACTGGTGGTAGGACCTCTTGTAAGTCCGCGCGGATAACTACCACCGCCCTGCATATTTCTGCCGTGAAGCAGTAATGCGTTTCGGTTTGAAGGGTGTGGGGGAAGTATAGTTACAGGGCAGCCGCTGTAACTATACTTAAGACCTTAGAGCTTATATCTCAAGGTGGGTGGCGCATTTACGTTGTAGATCTCTATGGGCTCCAGTAACCACTTAACACCAGGAGGGCTGTGAGATCGTTCACCCATCTAAGCAATAAAAAAAAAGTTTTCTTTTTATCTCAGTATTGGACACCATCAATTGCAAAGGAATGACACTGACCCCCCGATGAGCACGTTGTCAGCGCTCAGCATCACGTTCCCCCTCACCCCCTCCGACTGGTAGGGGTACTTCTGTTTGTCCTCGATGAGCTTCCGGAGGTCCTGCTGAGCTTCCTCGTACAGCCCCAGGATGTATTCGTAGCTTTGATTCCCGGTCGACACGTAGAGTCGGTCGTGGCCTCGTATGTTCCGTTGTACTGGGAATAATAATACTTATTACTCTGGAGTTAAAGATCAGAATTGTCGTTAAGTTTTACAAATTTGAGAAATGATAATAAAAAACAGGTTCTCGAGCCTGTGGATATTTGTCGGACCCGGCATAGAGACGACACCGTTGAATGTGTATATCGTATCAGTTTTTTTTTCCTACCTAAGCTGAGAGCCTTGAGAGGATATATCAGCGTAACCCTAACTTGTAGGTGGGCTCACGGGACTCAAACCTGACGACGTTGCTAACACGAACCCTAGCAATAGCCGTGCTTCTCAGAATCTACCACCGAATCGGAAACGCGACCCACTGAAAAGATCCGGTGAGAAACTCAGTGGGCTGTGCCAGAGTATCAGAGGGTCATAATCACTCACTTTCAGCTTGCGTCAGCTCCTTATAGTAGGGCTCCAGGGATTTGAAGAGTCTGTTTTCGTCGACGAAGGGCAGAAGGGCGACGCCCTGCCACGCGAACTTCTTGCCGTTCAGGTCGATCTTGAAGTCCGTCGGATAGAAGTCGATGATGGGAGAGAACTGAGGAACAGACAGCGTTGGTCAGTGATTGCACTCGGTGTGTGCGTGTGTGTGTGGGCGGCACGTGCGGGTACTGACCGGGTCACTCATGAGGCGCGCCCAGGGTCGCGGCACGTGCTGCGCGCTGGCGGCCGGGAACACTCCCATCAGCTGCTCCAGCGGACGGAACTGCACAAAAGGGGACCGGGTGAAGAGCTCCGCCATTACCTTTCTTACATAATTATTATAATATGCACATTACAAATAAAACTACTTCTACAATTACAACTCATTTTTTTAAATATTTAAACAAACAAAAAATACTAGATTAAACTGCAAAAGTTGTTTGAATGATGTCCACAACTCGTTGATACTATACATATAACGTTTTCTCCATTGAAATATGTACTTAACATATGTTCACGAATGACTTCCACAAAGAAAAGAAAACATCGTGTAGAAAAAATATTATTTGCGGTTATAATTAACGGATAGAGCGTAACCTAAGCCCGCAGGGGTGCGTATCAGCACCCGGTACACGTCACACGGCTATGACAGCCATTACACTACATGTCGCGAGGTGGGTGGCTGTATTCGTGTTGTTGACGACTTTTTTTTTAATTATTAATTCCTTAATATAAATATTTTTTCAAGCTTAACAATTTAAATATGATTTCTAAATAAAAATAATAACAGGCAAATTGTTACAAAAGCCTATATTTATCTTAAGCATTTATGAAAAGTTAGGCTTGCTTTATACTTCGAGAGAAACGTCAAAAGTAAAATTGAAATCATTAACCGCCTTTTGTCTCCAAGGCACTTACTCTATAATATATCACAAGCACGGCAGTGTGGTTTAAGGTAACCACTTAACAGCGGGTGGGCCGTGGTCTCATACACAAGCAATAAATAAACGATTGGATACCGGTTGAGTTCCCTTCTCGAACTGTGTGGACAGGCCGCATATGTTGACGAAGTCGGACGCGAAGGGCGCGTAGTGGTACGGGAAGTACCACTTCCAGCTCGCGCAGCCCTGGTAGTAGTACCGGAGAACCCAGCACAGGCCCCGCACGTACTGCAGCGCCACGCGGTACCTGCCGAAGGAAGGGGTCGATCTCAAGATCACACTTGTAGCCAGCCACACACAATACCGGGATCAGCTGCCTTAGGGGGTCAGTGGGGGTCGGGGGTGAATAGGGGCCGGGTGTAATGGGGGGACAGTGGGGGCCGAGGGTGAGTTGGAGCCAGAGGCAGTGGGAGTCAGGGGCAGCGCGTTCCTGGCGGACCCAGCACTGGACTGTTCTTCTGATTTGTCTTATCATAGGGTTTGAGGCGAAATGCATATATAATTTAGTTTTGTAACATCTAGATATACAAAACAGAATAAAACTTTAATTCCGTGAGACTGACACGCGTTTGTCAATTAAGGTTCCCAATAGGTCACTGCCAGAATTAAAAACAAAACTGAAACGCTAGAACATTATGAGCAACCTGAACTCCAGATTGTTCCGGGTGACTTCAAACTTGCTCTCATAGTATCTCTCTTTGAAGCCCTCCTCCCAGAGCCGGACCTCGTCGTGCTTGTCCTCGTCTTCCTCCTCCTCCTCGTCCAGCCCCGCCGCCGCCGCCGACCGCTTCCTGCCGCGACTGTCGCCCTCCTTCTGTTCAATCACAACTTTAAGTGAACTACGAATATTAAGGTTATTTCAAAGTTCCGCACATGGTAGTGTTGAGTCTCTATATCGGGCAAGGATTAATAAGACACGTCTTCAGTTAAGTAACTAACGTATATTGGGATTACAACCTCACCAACAATCCTGAAACTGACGTAGCATCACTGCAATATAATTATCGCTAACACATACATATAATTATTAGTTGCTATGGGGACATTTGTGGTCCCTACAGTAGCAAAGCAATCCTTATTTTTTGGAGTAGCCAGGGCAGATGAGCTCCCGATCCGTTTGATATTAAATTTTGATTTATATTTGAGTCAACATCTCAACGTGATGCCGCCAGCCAGCTTGAGACATGAGGTGGATTAGACACTGCTCCAACCGGAGTGCCCGACCTCAGTGCGGACACGAACGCAGTGGTACTCATGTACTCACCGTACACTCCGCCCTCAGTAATTGCACATTTGTTGAAGGATTTTACACGCGTTTGTTATTTCGCCACCGTGGAAGTTTTTATTTATTTATTGCTTAGATGGGTGAACGAGCTCACAGCCCGCCTGGTGTTAAGTGGTTACTGGAGCCCATAGATATCTACAAAGTAAATGCGCCACACACCTTGGGTAAGTTCTAAGGTCTCAGTATCGTTACAATGACCGTCCCACCCCTCAATCCGAAACGCATTGGTATCTACCCGTGCGGACTCACAAGAGATCCTACCACCAGTACTAACATGTTTCGTGAACATTTGTAAAGTACGTATTTCATTAGCAAAATTAGGGTCTGCATGCCGGGTTCGAGCCCCAGCACAGCCGCATCGCTTGACGCGAATGCTCCGGTCTTTCATCCAGTCTGTATCTCCGTACGGGGAATCTTTAGCACTTGTGTTTATGTTATAATACTCATTGTAAAAATGAATATATATTTTTTTTTAACTAGTATTTAAAAAAAAAGACATGCTCGCTGAGTTTCTTGCCAGTTCTTCTCAGGACGGAGGCTAGTTTTTGTGAATTGGCGGTAGTTCTTTTTGACGTTCAACAAGTGTGTACTTTGTATGTATTTCTATGTATGTATTTATGTTTATTTTTTATGTATAATTTTTTATTTTATTTGATTTGTATTGTGACTGTGCAGATGAGCAGGGTTTGAACACTTTTTGTAATAAAAAGAGAATGGGTATCCGTAGTGGGTGGGTGGGTACCTGTGCGGTGGCGTGCATCCCGGCGACGCGCAGGTCGGCGGCGGCCCGGCGCGCGTCCCGCAGCGGCGCCGCGCCCCGCCCCACAGCCTGCCAGCAGACACTATCATGTGAACTCCAAGCTAAATCAACTTTATGTTTATTGACATTAGGTTCATTTGTTCAACACACTGAAGTATTACATTTGCATGCAGTGCAAGAGTACCAGTATATTTGCATTTATTAAAATATATTTACTATGATATTATAATTATATCCCATTGTTTACATATGGTAATTAATTAGCTTTTTCCAATGCCATTGTTATCAGTCTCAAATTTATAAAAAGCTTCAGGTTTTAAAATAGATATTCTGTTACATGTAATTATCATATTTAAAGCAAAATAGAGTTGATTACTATAACATTTTAATCAATTGGAAGAAAATTAACAGTAAAACAATGGTTATTTACTAAGATTTCAATTGACTTTTCAGATGAACCCAAAAAGCCACATCTAGTGGCTTTGTTTAATTTTTCCACCCTTGTGCACTTTATGAAAGAACTCTGCGCCGGCGCATGAAAGGACACGGCTAGATCAAAACATTAGGGTCATTTTAGACCATGTGATCCAAGGCAGAAATAACAATGATGGCAATGCTGACCATGGGAGCTCTAAGATAATAACTACTTGACAGTGAAGATTCGATGGTCGCAGAAATATAACAGAGCGGCCAGAGCAGTGGCGTCACACGTGACCGCCATTCCTAACGTTACCGTCGCCTACCTCCGGCGCAAACTGCGTGTTCTCCAGCAGCTCGAAGTTGACCCGCTGCTGTTTCTTCTTGGCTTTGTCCCTCGCTCTGAAGCTCAGCTCGTTCTGATGCCTTCGCTTGAATATCTCGTCCTCCACGTGACCCAGCTCCGTCATTATGACCTGCACGCGGTCCAGCTCCACATCTCCCGAATCGGTTATCCAGCCCTGAGTAACAACGTTTATGAATTAGGACTGATTGGACAAAATCATACATAGCCCATACAAACCTTGCATGTCTGAAGCCCAAAATAGTAGTTAATGCAATTTGGACTTTATCTTAAATAACTCAAGTTTAACAATAACATTAATGTCAGTGTTTATGTGTTATGACATGTGTCCAAGTGGGCCAGAACCTTATCTGTCCCAGTATGCGGTTTAGCGACGGATGTGAGACTTTTTGGCGGGAACGCGAGGAGTGAAGTTGTGTGATTTGTTTTATTTTGTCTATTTAGTGTTTCTTCAGGTTTAAATATGTAAAAACGGTGATTTATTAACTGTTTAATATCTGTGAAAGTGCACAAATGTGGGAAAATGAAACAAAGCCGTTGGACGTAACTTCTCGGGATCCTCCAAAAAGTCCACTGAAAAAATCTTAGTAAATTACCACCATTTTACTGAGATTATATTTCATCCCATATCATCTCAATTCATTTCATTTAATTTCATCCCAGTTGATTAATGTCTCAAATTAATCATCTTCATTTCATTTCACTCCATAATATCATTTTTCATAAAAATATGAATAATATAAATTAAAATAAGACATGACTTAAAGGTCTCAGTTACCAGGTCATAAAATCTCTTTAAAAAAAAGGGACGGATGTATGTCATCAGTTGTACCTACTGTACTGCTGCTCGCACTGCCATCTCCCCCCAAAATCCACACTGTACTGCTATAAGATGGTGACGCAAAAACGAACCTTGGTCTTGTAAACGCATTTCTTGTACAAGTTGACCAGCCTGTCCACGGCCCCCTCGCGGATCTCGAGGCTGGGCAGGTGCGGCAGGAAGTCGTTCCCCACGAAGAAGCACATGAACACCCAGTCGTCCAGGGCGCGCTCGAAGTCGTACGGAAACGGAAGGTTCGGCATCTTCGCAGATATTTATTGTATAGAAACCATNAAACGAACCTTGGTCTTGTAAACGCATTTCTTGTACAAGTTGACCAGCCTGTCCACGGCCCCCTCGCGGATCTCGAGGCTGGGCAGGTGCGGCAGGAAGTCGTTCCCCACGAAGAAGCACATGAACACCCAGTCGTCCAGGGCGCGCTCGAAGTCGTACGGAAACGGAAGGTTCGGCATCTTCGCAGATATTTATTGTACAGAAATCATTCTCAAGGGTTAAGTTAAGAAATCTGGACTCACGCCAAAGTACTAATTACATTAAAATTTGATATCGGTTTATTTGTTGTTTCAGTTGAGAAAATGTTATTATGAGAGTTATGGCATGTTGTACTTCCAACAAAGTTATAAAATAACTATGAGCAGTAGGTACCAGCTGTGCCGTTGCTCATATTCATGAGCATTGACGCAACCACCATTGGGTGAGCTGACTGCTCATCTGACTTCAGAGGCAATTTAGTATATATGAAAATAGCTTTTATTTTGTATTCAAATGTTCTGTTTTGTATTTTGTAAATCAAACCCGCAAAATTATAATTTGCGTAATTACTGGTGGTAGGACCACTTGTGAGTTCGCGCGGGTAGGTACCTCCACCCTACCTATTTTATTCAGTGAAGCAGTAATACGTTTCGGTTTGAAGGGTGGGGCAGCCGTTGTAACTATACTTGAGACTTTAGAACTTATATCTCAAGGTGGGTGGCGATTTACGTTGTTGATGTCTATGGGCTCCAGTAACTACTTAACAGCAGGTGCGCTGTGAGCTCGTCCAACCAACTAAGCAATTAAAAAAAATTATATTACAATGTGTGACCCCATTAATAAATGTGGTACATCACCAGATGTGGGATATACAACAATTACAAGTACAACATGCCATAACTCTCAGGAAGCACTATGTATTTCAGAGCCAGGGAGTATGAGGCAAAAAAGAAATCTGAAACATATCTATAGTCTACATCTACTTAGGACCATGTACTCCACCTGCAGCTCTCTCTCCAAATACTCCCGGAGCACGCTGAGCCGGACGAATATAAAGTTGTCCTGGTTCCCGAACGCCGGATCGGAACGAACGACTGACGCGTCCGGGTTCGTTCCCGTGCATTCCTTCATTTCGTGACCTGTTTTAATGAGATATTTAAAGTTAACATTAATATTTTCACTACAAGTTAATGATATTATATAAAAATATCATATTTCTCTTTTGACACTTTTTATAAAGAAGATTAAATTGATATTGAACCAAAAAAAATCACTTAAGTTCATGCCAATGTTAAGCAAAGGAAGCAAACAAAACCTTGCTCAATTTTCAAACGTATCCAAATGTTAGGTACACATTAATATAATATAAATGAGTAATGAAATCTACCAAAATCTTATATTCTTTCTTTGCTTAATAATGGAAATTGATTTACATTACCTATTGATATTATATTATTTAGGAGCACCCTGTATATTAAATATTATATATTACATACATATATAATTGATCTAGAAAGAAGATTTTCTACTAACCAAGTTGCCCACAAACATCACAGGGTCTCGGTTTATTCGGCTTGAACTCCTCACGGATGATAGTGAAGTTTGGCTCGTGAGTGGCCAGACCCAGCATGATTAAATCAGCATCAGCACCGCATAAAACATGCTGTGTGTTTGGGTCGTGGTCTGGTTGCGCTGTTGAAGGGATTATAGAGTTTTCTTAGATTGTAAAGTTAGTCATATAGATAGTATGTCATCTATTGGATTCATTCAAGGTAAATTTTCAGCATAGAAACATCAAAATACACTATGCACATTTCATTGTAACAAACAAAATAGTTATGGGTTAAATCACCTACAGGTTTGTGTTTATGTTCTGTTTATTTTGCCACATAGCTCCCAAATGTTCTGGGTCAATCGGTGATACAGCTTTTATACAATATCATTGAGATTTTCAGAGTGTCTCACAGTTGGTGAGAACATTAAGGTTCAGATATCTATAGTGAGATAACTCAACAAACAGACTCAATATCAAATGGGTTGTGAAGTCTGTCCATTTCAAAAATAAGTTATACCAACTTAATTATGTAATAATGTCAATATTACTGTAAAATTGAGCTTTATTACATTACAGTCTACTCAAAATCAAGCGTTTAAATTGTCTTGTGAGCACTCATGATTACGTACAAACACCGCATTTCTGCTGAAAAGCAATAATGTGTCTGGTCCTGGGCTCCAGCAACCAATGAACAGCAGGTGAGCTTGTTCAGTCCTGTATACAAAAGAAACCTCCACTAACAAACGATAACTAACCTCTTTGTCTCCTAATGTAGTCCATAATCTTATGTTCTCCTTCTCCAGGAACATTTGCATCAGATAATATAATCTTAATACCTTTCCACCCGGGGTCATTATTTAATCTAAAAAAAAATACAATATTTTGAAATGATACAATGCAAATTCTCCACAAGTACATTTTCTCCAACATCATAGGTGGCAGAGCATTTTGTGAGCCTAAACAGATAGGAAGCAGCATGATGGTCTATTTATATCACAATGCAGATTTTTTTGTCTAAACGGTACTTTTCATCAAAAATTTATGTCTGAAATAGGTTAAAGTCCTAGTGTTTTAGGCGATACAGGACAGAGCATGTCTATGTTAAAATTAATAAAAATTTTGTTAGACAATATTAATTTGACCTTGAATGAGTCAAAAATCACCCAAGGTACACCGACAGCATGTTGAAGTGTTTCACCATCATGACTGTGCCTCGGGATCAAAGTTTGGACATCCATTATTATTCAAATTAGTCTTAGACCTCATATTTTGAAGGTGGTGTGGCAATATTGTGTTAACAGACTCCAGTTGCCACTTAATACCAATTGGATCTAGCTTGTTATCCTGAAGCAGTAAATAAAAAAAGCAAAGTTGCTGGCGGAAGTCGCATGAGTATAAGTAAAGAATCCCTACCTGTCATGTATGTAATAATGCAGACACTTGCTCAGTCTGTCCATGAACGGTGTCCCTGGTGTGATACAATTAGAATCAAAGTGAGCTTCCTTAGGCCTCTCTGGTGGTAAGTATGCTCCTTTAGCCTGAAGCTCATTACGGATGCGAGCTACTTCCTCAATCTTCTCTTGGGTTTCTTTGGACGCACGGAAACGTCGAGAACGTTGCTGGTTCATTTTAGCTCTTGGAGCCTTGAATTAAGATTCAAATTATTTTGATTGCAAATTTTTATTTTATTTCTATTTACTCATCTTGAGAATTTAGGTCATAATATCTATAGATATAGTCAAAGTTCCAATAAAGCTAATTATTTTACTAATGAAACACAAATAGGCATTAATGACTGGGATTTGATTCATTAGTCATCCTTTTAAATACATAATTATATAAATCACAACTATAAATGCTATAATTTTGTAATGCATTCTAACCAGCTTATGTACATTTATAATAACTTTATAAATTAATACATACCACTCCATCTATAGCCATATACAACAGTTTCCTAGGCCTCACAATACGAAAAAGTCTGTCAATGCATTCAAAGATGGCAACCATCATCTCATCCTCATCTTTTGGTGCTGGTTTATCCTCAGGGTGGGTGCACGGATGGATGATACCATTCATGTCCAGGTATAAATTGTCAAACTCCACTCCATTTGGATTAGGGAGGGAGGAATCTACATATACTAACTCGCCATCTACGTCGGTTGGCTGAAACGTCAATTTTATTATATATTTTCTACCACTTTATACGTGACAAGTAGAAGAAACAAATAATGGCAACAGCTGGACAACATGTTGAGTCTTGGCTGTAACATGTGACCAGTGGGGTCGAGACAGATGTTTATGTGTACTAGACATCTGTAATTACATTGAATGATTAAGGTCTTAAGTAAAATAGCATCCACTTGGTGGTGAGTGAATAATTAAAACTCTGAATGATGACATTTTCTTAGAATGGAGAAATGAATAATAGGAATGGAAATGTTGACAATCTTGTGAAACAATCTTCAGAACTTTAGTCATGCGCGTCATTTGGTTCTTTAGAGCTTAATCACAAGATGGAAGTTACCAATACCATTACTGTAATACAAGGTGAGCATTTTAACTAAACAAAAAAAGGCGCAGTTTTAGAGGTCGACTTGCGAAGAACAGCCCGACAACATTGCGTAATTATTGCTTTTCTTGTTAAAATACTTATTTTATAGTGATTTTCGATACAGGCACCACGTATATTTGTTTTGCTAGACCCTCAAAATAACTGTAAATAACGATTTTTAGGTTATTTTTCATTTACCTTTTGTTCAACACATTCCACTATTACACTTGGATATTTTCGGCTGAGCCAGCGGAAGAACGCTGGAACTCCCATTATGTAACACTCGTCTTAATTTTTATTGATGGTGATTAAATGTTTTTTGTGTTTTATTTGTCACGTATTCAACACAAACAAATCGACGCAGGTGCCATTTTAAGTAGAGAGAGAAAGCTGACAAACAAAGCAGGATAGCACTAAGAACACACTACTTCGTTCGGGAACAAGATTTAAGCCTTGTTAAATCACTTCTTAATAAATAGAGAATTTTGTTCATTTTTTCCACCCATTTTAAGGCATGCTAATACTAATTTTCCAAAACAGAGTTTTAGTTTTATCTAAGGAAACTGTATGTATTGAAAAATTTTTTTTTGCTTCACAAAATTTTGAAAGTTCCTATATAGGTACAATCTAATGACGCTCAAAGGGCGTAATCATTAGTAAAATACTTGTTAAATATTACTAATCACTTTAAATACGAATACACAATACAGATTCAAAATGGTCTAACAAAACATTTTTCCTTTATAAGACCTTTTTAATTTTACAATTCACTCTTCCAGTAAGCGCTACATGGCGATCACAGTACGCTGGGTATAAAGTTGAGAGAGCCCTGCTGCTTATTTTCTCTTCCTCGCCTTTTACGAAACACAGAAAAACACGAACTGGTAAAGTTTTATATTGCAACTAAGTGATCGACCACACTTTCAATAAATTCCCAAGTTTTCATTTATTCTTTGAACTGCCATGGCTTTGGGTTTTGGGCTATATATGGAATGTCCCCTTTGCCTAAAAGAACTACATTTGATTTGTCAAAATCAGCTGAAATCAAGTGTAGTTTTATTTTCTATTTATTTGAACCTACTTGAAAATGAAAAAGCTATATTTCTTAAGTAATTACAGAAATTTCTTCAAAAATGCTTGGGCAACAAGATGTTACAGTAATTCTACTAAAAATAATGTCAATGAAATGGAAAATATTCGTAATATTGGTATTTTAGCGCACATTGATGCAGGTTAGGTTTTCATTTCATTTCATCTATTTTACTGTGAATGTATTTGCACACACCACGGAAAAAATCTTAACATAAGTTTTCTCAAATGGACCGGAGTGTACTTTAAGTACACTGCAGTTTATAGATTTAAAATTCAGTTGCCTAAACAATAGCATGTTCGAAGTCTGTACCAAATAAACATAGGTAGACTCTAAAATATGATCCAATGAATGTATGCAATCTCATACTAGAAAATACCGTAATAATACTTATAATTGTATACTTCAGCGTACCAATGGCAAACTTTTCTAGCAAGTTAAATGTGAAATCATCCAACTGCAACTTCGACCCCATAAGATGTGTTGAAATCACACTTTCTTCTTCGTCGGTTCCTCATTACTGAGGGTCATAACCACCTTGGTCCAGTTTTTGCACCAGCTTCCTCCAATGCTGCCTGCACTCGGCTTGCTTAATGGCGCTCGGGACGCTGATGTTTGTGGCCTCCTTGACAATGTCCATCTACCTGGTTGGCAATCTTCCTCGACTTCTCTTTCCTTCCACCGACACACGTGGCCCGACGAAATCCTGACAACTTGGAAAAATTAATAGTTGTAGGTCATGTGATAGGAAAGAGAAATCACACTAGAATGAACTGTCCTCTATGAGTGGATGATTACTTTAACGGTATACCATTTTACAGGTAAAACAACGACAACAGAAAGAATGCTGTTTTACTCAGGCACCATCAGATCTATGGGAGAGGTGCATCATGGGAATACCGTCACAGATTACATGGAACAAGAGAGGCAAAGGGGAATCACAATCACTTGTAAGTAGAAGCTTTAGTTAGAATTCTTGAATGGTTAGAAGATATGATTTAAATAATATTGTTCTGGATCAACAGCACTTTATTCTAAAAATTCTTTATTTTATTTCGGTTACTTTATTCTAATTATTATCACAGGTATATTTAATGTAGAGGCACTAAATAAAATGTGATACAAGTACGGTACTAATAATAGGGTTCAAGTAATACTTATTACACATATTAGAGTATTAAGCGGTAAGCAGCAGCTTGGCTCTGCCCCTGGCATTGCTGAAGTCCATGGGGGACAGTAACCACTCACCATCAGGTGGGCCGTATGCTTGTCTGCCTACAAGGGCAATAATATATATAAATATAATATATAATAAATATAATATATATAAATAATATATATAAATGATAAATAAGACTCCAAAAATTAATCACATTAAGTAGTAGTTTTGAAATTGAAAAGGCCTTAATTTTTATAATTGTATTATTTATGTACTGTTTTTATGTACCATCTCAGCTGCAGCAGTAACAATCCCTTGGAGAGGAGGGCAGATCAATCTAATAGATACACCAGGACACATAGACTTCACAATGGAGGTCGAACAGAGTTTGGCTGTTCTCGATGGTGCAGTTATAGTTCTAGATGGATCTGCCGGTAAGCAACACTGGTAGTTGATTGATCTTTAAGGCTTGTTGAAACACAAGTACATTATAGTTGTCCTGAGCATATTTTGTTTATAAAAAAGTACTTTTAATGTTAAAATAAAAAGTTATACAATACAAATACAATAATTCTATTACTAGACCAAAAACTTCTCATCTTAAGAGGTGAACTAAACTCAAAAAGTATATAACAAAGAATAAATCGAACTCTGGGTAAAAGGCAATTTCCATATAAAATCAAATCTCTGTAGTTGTAATTGTTTTAAGTAGTGCACATTGAACTGTTGATTGTCTGAGAAGGTTTCGATGATTATAAATGTTCTCCAAAAAGTTCAAAAAATACTACAAAGAATGTTACACGGTAAATGGTTCTATGCAGCATATTAAAAGTATATTATGTTAAAAGCTCCCAGGTCTGAGATCGGGTAGTTCCACTGTTTTGTTTTATAAAATTTGTATGTATGGAATGCCAAATGTGTTGCTGACCTGTTAACAACTCAAACATCTTAGTTATCCACTCGGAGAGGCTTTAGCTATTACACTCACCGTTTTCCAATAACTCATACCACCACAAATTTTCTTTACAGGTGTCGAAGCACAAACATTAACAGTGTGGAGACAGGCCAGCGGGTACAGAGTACCTCGGATACTTTACTTAAACAAGATGGACAGGAATGACGCATTCGTGGAGGCTTGCGTGAACTCGGTCACAGAGAAACTGCAAGCCACGCCTCTGCTACTACACCACACCGTTAGGCACGAAGGACGACTCATTGGTACGACTTCTCAACTTATTGCCTTTAGACCTGTTTTGTTATTGTTTTGGTAGGCAGACGAGCATACGGCCTACCTGATGGTGAGTGGTCACCGTCGCTCATGGAGCAATGCCAGGGGCAGAGCTAAGTTGCTGCCCTCTGGAATCTACTTACTAAGTGAGTATTTAGGTACATAAAAAACTTTTTGAAATAACATACTGTAGGCGCGCGATGTCATATTCACCCTGAGGAATGTGGTAGTGCTGTGACCGAATTAATTATGGTAATGTCGATAATAACTACCGATTTAGTCAACAGCCGTCAATTTGGTTTATTGTAACATAAAGGTAATTTTGCAAATTATGAAATATAATAAATGTGATTAGTAATTACTTATTTATTTCTAATAGAGAAAAATACTTTTTAAATTCAATCACTATCAGATGAAAAAACAACCGACAGATCAGAGTCGGAATCAGCTTCTTTTTTCAGTAGGTTTTTTTCTACCTGAACTTGTTGGAAGCAGAGTAGTCATGGTTTATTCACAATGAAATAACACAATACATCCTTAGGCTCTGGATCAGGGGTGGGCAAAAGCCGGCCCGCGGGCCGGATCCGGCCTTTTTGCTAATTTTATCCGGCCCGTTGAAAAATTCCGCACATAAATTTTTTTAAACTCTTTTATGAGATTTTGTTGACATCAGCATTAAAAAAGCATATGCGGTAAAAAAGCATATGCGGTATAGTCCTCCGGCCCGGGAGACATTTTGAAAATTTCATTTTGGCCCGCGCTTTAAAGTATTTGCCCACCCCTGCTCTGGATGAATACTTAGGTCTAAAATATTTATTTAAATAAAATATTACATAAACTAATAATTAAACATTTTCTTGCAGGACTAATAGATTTAATAAACCTAGAAGAGATAATATGGACTCAAGGACGAGGACAGAAGTTCACTCGAAGAAAACTGACGGAGAAAGACGACGGTCACAAATGGGAGGCGGCCGTTACTGACCATAGACAACTCGTGGACACTCTCTCCTCCATAGACGATGAGATAGCAGAGACAATCATAAACAACGAGTCTTTGGAGTTGAGCGCACGCGACATAGAGAATGCGGTCAGAAGATCTACTATTAAAATGAAAGCTTTTCCCATTTTGTGTGGAAGTTCTTATAAAAATATAGGTAAGTGTGAAAGGCGTGGATTTTGACTTCCTTCAGGTAAGGAAATTACTTCTAGTAGATAGTTTGTCAGCATTATGCTGCAAAAGCTCACTCATACTGATAGCTCATAGACTTAAACCAAATTCAGTTCACCCCATTCGGATCCAGAGTACTTTATTTCAGACACAATTTTTTATCGCGTCTACTGAGCCGTGCTCCGAGATAGACTCTGGTGGCTGGTGTATTGTACCCATACAGCGGAGTTCACCGTCATGTCGGCCACAGCAGCAGCTGTCAACGACGATTATGATGGGAACATTAGAAGTGGATTTCGTAGGATGATAACCTCTATAGAAGTCCCCTTGCCACAATTGGTCGAAGGCCTTCTCTATATCAAGCCTCGCCATCGCTTGGCAAGACCCCAACCCAACGGCGGGTGAAGGTCGTAGCCTGTCAGTGTTGTGTTGTACCTTCCGTCAGCTGCTTTTTTAAGGAATTTTATGACCTGGTAACTAAGACCTTTAGGTCATGTCTTATTTTAATTTACATTCTTATTTTTATGAAAAATGATAACATGGAGTGAAATGAAATGAAATGAAGATGATTAATTTGAAACATTAATCAACTGGGATGAAATGAAATGAGATGAGATGAGATGAGATGATATGAGATGAATATAATCTTAGTAATGTGGTGGTCATTTACTGAGGCTTTCTCAGTGGACTTTTTGGAGGCACCCGAGAAGTTACGTTCAGCGGCTTTGTTTCATTTTCACACACTTGTGCACTTTCACAGATACTAAATGGTTAATAAACCACCGTTATTACACATTTAAACCTGAAGAAACACTAATTAGACAAAATAAAATAAATCACACAACTTCACTCCTCGCATTCCCGCCAAAAAGTCGTCCGTCAGCTGCTGTGGTGCAGTGTTGCCCTACTAAGTCAATGGGACAGAAGAAAAACCTACTACCGTTTAGAATATTTCTTCAATTTCCAATACTTTTTTTATTCTATAGGGGTTCAAACCTTGATGGACGGTGTCATGTCATATCTTCCAAGTCCCCTGGAGGGACACGAGCTGTATAAATGTTTCGGTGAGGAGTTAGCGGGCAGGGCTTTCAAAGTGATCCACGACGACCAGAGGGGAGTGCTGACCTTCGTGAGGATGTACAGCGGCGAGATGAAGAAGGCGCAGAAGATCTACAACCTTGGACAGGACAGAAGCGAGCAGGTGACGTTTGGCGCTCTTTACCCGGGAATAACTAAAAATACCACAGTCCAATTGACTACTTATCTTGTGTTAAATGACCACTGTAGTATGGACAGCATAACTTGAATACTGCCACTCACTTTAAGGCGCGAGGCAATCCTTATTCGTGCTATAATGACAGCGGTCTAACCCTCCAACTGGCATGATTACTGGTGGTAGGACGACTTGTGAGTCCGTACGGGTAGGTACCACCACCCTGCCTATTTCTGCCGTGAAGCAGTAATGCATTTCGATTTGAAGGGACGGGGCAGCTACTGTATTGTTAAAAGTGAGACCTAAGAATTCATGTCTCAAGAGGGGTGGCGGTATTGACGTTATAGATGTCTATGGGCTACAGTAACCACTTAACACCAGGTGAGCCGTGAGCTCGTCCACCCATCTAAGCCATAAATAAATAAAAATTTGTGGTCGGTACCTGCCCGACATTGCCAGCAGCCCATTGCTGATGAGATGTCATTACGACATGTATAATATGTGCAGAGGGGGGAGATATATGTTATATATTATGTTTGTGATGTATGCTGTGTGATATTGTATTTATTTGCACAATAGGGCGATGTGATTTCGCGTCGAAGTTGGGAGGATGTCACGCGACAATCGCATTCTAGACGATTCCAGATTTTATATAATTAGAAATGTTTGTGAATATAATTGAAATAACCAGACAGGAGCGCTGTACGTGGCGTTGGCTGACGAGTACCGACCGGTGGAGTCGGTGGCCGCGGGCAACATCGCCGTCGTGGGCTCGCTCAAGGTGAGTACTCACTTACCTGCTGTCTGGGACGTGCTCCGCGAGGGTGGCGAGCGATTACTAGCGACGAGACACGCAGCGATGTACTTTGATCATGTACCTGGGCAGCTGGGTCCGCAGACGTGTCAAGATAAGTGCGGTCATGAGACGGCAATAATAACCCTCTTATCGTGACCGCCACTAATCTATACTAATATATAAATCTACAGTGGTTTTTACGGATGTTCCGTTATAACTACTGAACCGTGCATCCGATTGACTTGAAACTTGGTATCCGTGTAGAAAATACATGTACTTAATGGATAGGCTAATATTTATATGAGTGTTAGACTCCCTACACCAGTTGCGGGGGCGTTAATGTTAAGAATTTTTATGGGGGTGAGAAATAATAATGTTAATTTTAAATGCCCAGTGAAGCGGATGGGTACAGCTAGCTACTTACACAACCGCGACGGCCCAAAGCAAAGCCGCCATCGCTCGAGGCACGTCTTGTCGGATCCTCCGGAGTCACTCTCGGTGTTTTTAGGCTTCTCAAGCATCGGGCACCATCCACGTCCAACTCGTCTAACCTAACTAACTAACCCATGGACACAATCCACTGAGTTTCTCACCGGATCCTCCCAGTAGGTCGCGATTCCGATCCGGTGATAGATTCTGCGAAGTACTGCTCTTAATAGGGCTAGTGCTAGCAAATTCTCTCAGGTTGGGTCCGTGAGTTCATCTACCCGCCAAGGCGTAGCTGGATTAGCTTCATAGGCTACCAGCGGATAATGGGGGTAAAAAGGAGGTTATTATGATCGATTATTTCTCGCCAAAAGTAGGCAGGTCGATGGTATGCCGCTTCGTAATTCACCGTTGGTAAAATATTAAAAATGGCTCTATAAGGGAATGTAATCTAAAAGCTGGCATTCTGCTTTGATTTTCTGCCGACGCTATAGACTGATTTTTAAATTGTTACTACATTGTACAAAAACTATCTAACTCTCTCTAACTAAAACTAAATTGTCTCCAAAGGGCTGTGTTAACAAACCAGGCGAAGATACGATATCCGCCCGTGGTTTGTTAACATAGCACTACAGTCGCACCACATACTATGTACTGTCGAAGTGGAAAACATCAATCAATACGATGAAACAGCGTCTTGCAGGCGACCATGACGGGGGACCTGGTCACGTCCACACAAGCGGCGGCCAACAGGGCCCGGGGTCGGCTGGCGGCGTTGCTCCGCCTCCCCGGGCGGGTGGAGGAGCTGATGCTGCCCAGCGCCAAGCAGAGGCTGCAGGCTCTCGACTCTGAACCAGAGCCTGAGGAACTTGCAGAAATTCTGCTCGGCATCGGTAGGTTCTATCGGGAATACTTAGTCCATATACACGAAGACATGTATCATGGTGGGTGACAGCGTTCACGTTACCTCATCGCACCTCCCGCCATCGGAGCAGAGTTCATCCATATTATCTGGAACCGCTGCGTTCATCGACAGTGCATTTTCAAAGATCTTTTTTGCCACGGGCCATCCGGCTTTGGAATGAACTCCCCTCCACGGTGTTTTCCGAGCGCTTCGACATGTCCTTCTTCAAACGAGGCTGCGGAGAGTACTTAATGGTAGGCAGCGGCTTGGCTTTGCCCATGACATTGTTGACGTCCATGTTTTTTTTTTTTTTTTTTTTTTTTATTGCCCTTGTAGGCAGACGAGCATACGGCCCACCTGATGGTGAGTGGTTACCGTCGCCCATGGACTTCAGCAATGCCAGGGGCAGAGCCAAGCCGCTGCCTACCTCAGCAATGCCAGGGGCAGAGCCAAGCCGCTGCCTACCACGGTGACCACCTAATAGTTCATACCAGGACCGTGTCGTTCCGTCGATTCTTCCACAATAAGGCACAAAGTCGTGTTGTAACATGAGAACCGGCCGGTTTATCCATTCAGGCACCACCGTCCCCGAGCCCGTGTTCCTGTGCTCCATCGAGCCCCCCAGCGCCATGCACCAGGCGGCGCTGGAGACGGCGCTGGAGCAGCTGCAGCGGGAGGACCCGAGCCTTAGGGTCAACGCGGACGACGAAAGCGGACAGATCGTATTGGCCGGTCAGTGGACTGTTGTTTGTGTCTCCTCTGCCTTCTATCCTCCGATTTTGTTATTTGTAGCTCATGATGCTCGCCTCCGCGCCGAGCCCTCGCGTGGCTATGGCAACAAATGGACAGTAAGCCTTTCTCTAAACTAACTCTTGTGAGGATGATGTTCCTTTTGAGGTCTCTGTTTCTAGGACGAAGGACTTTGAAGGGTCGAATAGCCTTTGCAATCGAGATTACGGCCTCGTGTCTCGCCGGAGGAAGCAATCGCATTATGGTTATAGAATCCAGCGGTCAAATACCTTACTCGATGACACCTTCAGCTCTAACACTAGGAACAGGCTTAGGGACGCCGGTACTCATCGAACTCGACAAAGGGTTCGACGTGCAATCTAACCCATGAATCAGCTCGCTGAGTCTCTCGCCGGATCTTCTCAGCGGGTCGCGATTCCGATCCGATAATAGATTCATTCGCGAAGCAGCTGCTCTTGAGCTGTTAGGTCTCATTCGGAGGCGCTCGGGTAGCTGTTAGCAAATCCCACTCCTGGCCGAGTTTTGCCCACCTGTCCTGGTGAAACTGGAAAGGCCTCCGGGCTACCAGTAATCTTTTAATCATAAAAAAAAACCTTACTCGAATAGTAACTCAGAGCATGCCTAACCGCCAGGCAATAGCTAACGAAACAAGACTCTCACTTCGTCGTCTCCCACGCCAGGTATGGGCGAGCTCCACCTGGAAATCATAAAGGAGCGCATCATCAGAGAGTACAAGATAGACGTGGAGCTGGGCCCGCTGCAGATAGCGTACCGGGAGGCGCTGGTCTCTTCCGGCAAGAACACGCTCACTGTGGACAGGAAGATCGGCGGCGCCAGACAGCAGCTCAAGGTCACCATGTCCGCCAAGACCGTCAAGGGAGTCGCTCAGGATAAGATCCTCAGGTGAGGGCCGCTCGATCCCCGTATTGCTTTGTATGCTGATAGATCAGTGTTACTTGTGTGGCGGGTAGCCATCATACAACGCATGATAATTGACAGATGCCTGAATCTCGCTTACGACATTTTCAAGATAAAGCGCATATATACAAGTTCCGAACAACAACATTAGGACCGTCGGTCTACCGAGCAAATATCACCCGCTCGGTGGAAGATCTTCCCTCCGTCGTTAAGTATTCCTAAACTGGTGACCCCGACGTGATTATCTTGCGTTGTATGATGGCTACCCGCCACACTTGAAGTGTTGCTAGGCCGCGTCTAACCTATCGAGATAATTGATGCGAAATTATTAATTCACAATAATCGATGAAGTTATAAGTCTAATTAAAATTACTTGTACGGTTTTATTTTTGGCGTTTGTAATACTTTACAGTTTTCGTCGTTACAGAACTCGTCAATTACGACGAAGAGTTCGATAAAGTGAACTAGCCCATAGACACAGCCCACTGGGTTTCTCGCCAGATCTTCTCAATGGGTCGCATTTCCGATGCGGCGGTAGATTCTGCGAAGTACAGCTCTTGCTAGGGCCAGTGTTGGCAAATTCTCTCAGGTTGAGCCCGTGAGCAAGCCTACCTGTAGCTGGAATGGACTGCATTTAAAATGTGAATCGTTTGAAAAATTGTTTTTAAGGAATTTTATGACCTGGTAATTAAGACCTTTGAGCCATATCTTATTTTAATTTATATTCTTATTTTTATGAAAAATGATAATATGGAGTGAAATGAAATGAAATGAAGAGGATTCATTTGAGATATTAATCAATTGGGATGAAATGAAATGAAATGAAATGAGATGAGATGATATAGGATGACATATAATCTCAGTAAAATAGTGACCATTTACGGAGATTTTTCAGTGAACTTTTTGTAGAAACCCGGGAACTTACGTCCAACGGCTTTGTTTCATTTTCCCACATTTGTGCACTTTCACAGATATTAAACAGTTAATAAACCACTTTTATTATACATTTAAGCCTGAAGAAATACTAAATAGACAAAATAAAACAAATCACACAACTTCACTCCTCGCCAGGGCCGGATTTAAAGTTAATGCCGCTTCTGGGCACCGGAAAAAAGCCCGCCTCAATGCTGGAATTTTTCCAAAACTTATAGTTTATATATTATAATTTTCAAAATTAAAATAACTAATTTAATGCGGAAACTTTATCATATTATGTCATTTATTCCAAAAACATAAATCTTCTTCTATATCGTTCCCTCACTACTGAGGATCGCGACCACATGCGATGTACTTCCAATGCACCCGATCATGGGTGGCATGGACTGCATGGTACAGACTACCACCGAGTGCTTCTCTTGCCAGATCTGACCATCTGGCTGGTGTTCTGCCCACGGCGCGCTTGCCTTCTATTCGACCCGTAATTATGAGCTTCTCTAATTCATGTCTGGGAGACCGCATGATGTGTCCGAAGAAGCTCATAACACGTTCCCGGCAGATGGAAGAGAGCCTTTTTCGTAAAAAACATAAATAAATATTTATATATATTTTTTTCTAACAATTATAAATTTTGCGCTGAGGGTTTTGCGCTAAGCTTTCATAATTATATTACATAAAAAAAAAAACTAATTAATTTCCTTTAATTACAGAAAATAGAAAAATCGATTATCATTTTATATCTCCAAGGAAATAAATACAAATAATGAATGGATTGAATTTCTTGAATTATCAATTAAAAAGAAAATTATTAATTAATTATATTGCGCAATGCCGATACGACTAAAAAAGGGTGCGTGTACTTATGTACGCGCGTAATAAATTATACTTTTTTTTTTTAATATTAAATAATTAATAATAAATAATTTACTAAATAATAAATAAACGTTAATAATTTAATAATATCTAATAAACGTTAATAATTTAATAATATTTAGTATGAATTATATTAAATAATAATTTTATCAATTATATTACTAAATAATACATACGGATAGTTAACCTCAATTGTATTGGAGCACTTAGGAAGATTGATGAGCACAGTTTTTTCACAAATATTTTCTAATATTAATTAGTATTGATTTAAATATTCAATTTAAATCACTTCTGATTATCATTCAGACGCACATATAAAATTCGCACTTGTATAATGAAAACAAAATGAAAACACGTGTTTTAAATGTAGAAATTCAAAGCATGTGAATAAATATTATAAATATAAATACACAGTGAACAGAGGCGGCGTGCGTGCCAACATGCGCCACTAACAGAGGTTCCATTTTTGTTTTGTTGGTAGCATTTTTTACGAGTGTAAAAATGCGCGAAAGTTCACCCGCGGCTATATTCAGACTCGCCAAGTTACGTCGGTCGTATTGTAATGAGCGATTTAGTGGGCAACTTCATTTCTGTTAATTTTGTGTCACGGTGCGCGCGCATCGTAAAATTTCACTCTCATAAATTTTTCATAACGGGCCTAAAGAAGTATAAACAAAAAAAAAATTTTTACTTTCAGAAATTTGCCGCTCTGGGCACTTGCCCCGACTGCCCCTAGTGTAAATCCACCACTGCTTCTCGCGTTCCCGCCAAAAAGTCTCCGTTTGAAAATATGATGAATTACTCCACAGACTAGATAAGACGGCTGAGAGCGCGTCGAACCTCGCGCATCTACACCCGCGGCAGCTGCAGGCCGTGCGGCAGGGGGTCGCCGCCGCGCTGCTGCACGGGCCCAAGCTCGGCTGTCCGGTACGTCACGCCATTGAGACATCGACCTCAAAGCACCAGTAACATACGGACACGTACATACATACGTACTTAACAAATGTTGACGATTGACTTGCACGGTGAAGGAATAATATTGTGTAATAAAAATCAAAACCGCAAAAATTATAGTTTGCATAACTATCTCACTACACAGGAGCATACATATGGACAATGTTTAGTAGACGATAGTGGGGATGATACGAAGAGTCGCACAAAGAGGAGACCGACAACGTCTAATGTGTTCTATCTCATTCTCTCGGCGGCTGAATCCTATACGTTTATGTGTTTGTGTCTCTATGGACTTATTTTTTCGTTTCATCAAGTTTGAAATCACAACGATTCTAAACAAGTTTCACTTCCAAAATATGTATGTAAAGTGAAATGTGAACATGAATACACGGCGCGACGACCTCACGTGAGGTCATCTCACGAGGGCAACTGCTTTATCACGCGCAGGTGGTGGACGTGCAGGTGACGCTGCACTGGTTCGAGTCCGGGCGCGGCACCTCCGACTCCGTGGTGACGGCGTCCGTTGCACAGTGCTTGAGAAAGGCGAGTACATCTATTAGTTTCACATTTCACAGCAAGTTTGGTTCATTACACATCTAAAAATTAATACGTGAAGCAAAAACTTTGTACCCCTTTTTACAAAAATTTCGCGGACGGAGAAGTATGAAATTTCCCACACTTATAGAGAATATAGATGACTAGTACATAATCTTATTATATCTTTTTAAAGTTATGTATTCATCCATCACACGCACTACCATGTATTTGACGCACACACGCGTATAAATACTCTTTTGTTTGTTTTTAAAATCTGAGAATAGATTAATATTGTTTGTCTTCAATATCATTTGTCTATGGTGTAGTCTTAGCGACATCTGTAATTATACAAGTATTTTAGTCTTTGACAATAGAAACATTACAAGTTTCAAACTTATAATTTCAATTAATTATAGTCGAATTTTGATTACTGGTGAACCACTAGTTAACATAAAAGTGTGTAAACAAAAATTGACCTTGAGACTTTGAGACTTGAGACCTTGAGACCTAACTTCCAACTTTATAATATTATTGCTGTCCACCATCAATCCGAAACACATTAGTATCGCTTCAGAAATAGGTAGGGTGGTGGCTCCTACACCGAGGGACTTACACGACTTACCAACAGTAAATAAAACAAACGAACGAATTTAATGCACGAAATGAATCAAAATCTTGTGGCTATTGTAAATAAGGTCGAATTTCCATCAATGTATAATTTCAATTCTTCAGGTGTTCGAAGAGGCGGACTCGATCCTCCTGGAGCCGGTGATGTCACTGGAGGTGGTGTGTCCCGAGACGCACTCCCAGAGGGTGCTGGCCGACCTCTCGCGGCGGAGGGTCGAGGTGCAGCACATCCAGCTGCGACAACACAACAAGGTGAGCCGCGGCCTCGTGCCAGTGTCGAGTCCACTCGGTGCTGTGGACCCGGGGCGCACGGACGTAGCACGCGTGTTGTCGTATCCTGCGACGGCTTAGCGCAACGAGGATCTTAAATACGTCCTTCCATCGCTTAGTAAAAAAGAGACTGCTAATAATATACGAGACAAAAATATACAAACCAAATCGTTCAAATAATAGTTTAAAAAAACAAAAAAAATACGCTTCTATAGAAAATCCAATTAAAAAAAGGGTGCGTGTACTTTTGTACGCGCGTAAGAAGTTATATTTTATTTTTATTAAATTTATTCCTTTTTTTATTTAAATTTTAATCAATCTGAAAAAAAATTGATTAAACAACATCCTCAAACACGCATATTGGACGTCCCTTTTCTTGACATCGTATAAATTCGGTAATTCTCGGTACGGTTCGGAAAGTTCACCTGCGGCTATATTCAGACTCGCCAAGTTACGTCGGTCGTATTGTAATGAGCGATTTAGTGAGCAACTTCATTCTGTTCATTTTGTGTCACGGTGCGTGCGCATCGTAAAATTTCACTCTCATCAATTTTTCATAACGCGCCTAAAGAAGTATGAGTTCAAAAGTAGAAAATAAATTTTAATAAATTTGAATTAAAAATAGTGTAAGAAAAAAGCGTGGGGTGCTTTTCAGAATATTATCAAAATAACCCTTCTACTCATATCTGTTCATAAAATATTTATAACTACTGATACCATGCAACCCACGCTTTTTTTACAATAAAATCTTTTTTCTTACACTATTTGTAATTCATATTTATTAAAATTTATTTTCTATTTTTTAGTTGGATTTTATATAAAAGCGTATTTTTTTTTGTTTTTTTAAACTATGTATTATTTATTTTTAATTTTTTCAATTTTTTTTTATATTTCCAAAAATTTCATCTGAATCAGTCGGTAGTTACCGGAGAGAAATAGGTGATCGGCGCGCTTGCTGGTTTCCCTTCTTGGCCTTGACGCAGACTCTTCGGGTCTCAGGAAAACCAAAACTCGTTAATCCTGACTATCCTATCAAGGATAACGGATCAAACTGTTTCAAATATTAAATTGTTATCGGTCCTTAATAATTATGCCAAATTTCGAGTTAATCCGACGTTTGGAACGGGTCAAAATCATGTTCAAAAATACCGTTGCATACTAACATACATCTGAAGCTAATAAAAGCGTATTAATAAACGTACTTAACAAATGTTCACGGTTGACTTCCATGGTGAAGGAATAACATCGTGCAATAAAAATCAAACCCGCAAAATTATAATTTGCGTAATTACTGGTGGTAGGACCTCTTGTGAGTCCGCGCGGGTAGGTGCCACCATCCCGCCTATTTCTGCCATGAAGCAGTAATGCGTTTGAAGGGTAGGGCAGCCGTTGTAACTATACTGAGACCTTAGAACTTATATCTCAAGGTGGGTGGCGCATTTACGTTGTAGATGTCTATGGGCTCCAGTAATCATTTAACAACCAGGTGGGCTGTGAACTCGTCCACCCATCTAAGCAATAAAAAAATACACACAAAACTCATTAAATAAAATAAACCTTATTCCCAGGTGATAGAGTGCATAGCTCCGCTGTCGGAGGTGGTGGGCTACTCGTCGACGCTGCGCTCGCTGAGCTCGGGGCTGGCCACCTTCTCCATGCAGTTCCACTCGCACCGCCAGATGGCGCCGCAACACGAGCAGCTCGCCGTCAAGAACGTCACCGGATTCTAGACCTCGCGCTGCTATCCACTGTGAGCTTAGTGAGAGCTTTTTAACGGTCTCGATAACGTAAAAGTTAACTCAAATTTGTATGGAGTTGTAACGTTTGCCTACATCTGCCGCTAGAGGGCGCTGTTCCAACTGCATACAAATTTGAGTTAACTTTTACGTATGGAGGGTAGAGGTAAGCAGAACCGTCTCATATGAGAGAAGCTTGAAAAAGTGTCCCACTTTCAGTACTAACCAGAATGGCGCTAGCATAGGCACAGGGTATGATGATATGAATTGAGCAGTTGATAACTGATTGAAGTGTGCTGAGTTAGGAAATTTAATATATTTATTGACTAGAGTAGTTAGTGACAGTGTAATATACAAGACTTCATATGTTTACGTCATTCAAACTAATTTCGTCAATATAACCTAAAATGATTGCTGTGGTAAAACGTGGAGACATCGATTGCATTTTTTTAATCAGCTTTTTTTTTTTATTTTTTTATTGCCTTTGTAGGCAGACGGGCATACGGCCCACCTGATGGTGAGTGGTTACCGTCGCCCATGGACTTCAGCAATGCCAGGGGCAGAGCCAGGCCGCTGCCTACCGCTTAATACTCTCCATAAGCCTCGTTTGAAGAAGGACATGTCATAGCGCTCGGGAAACACCGTAATCAGCTTTAAATAAAATTCTTTTTATGATTTTGTAGTGCTTACAATTCTTTCGTCCTTTTTTATTTCTCTATATTATTTTAATAACTTTTAGCGCCTTTTTTAAAATTTACCCGGTTGCTACTGTAGCGCCACCCGTACTTAGCAGATTTTAACGGGCATTTTCACACACAGAGGCGGTTCTCCTTACCTCTACCCCTTCATGATTTTACGTTATCGAAAACGTTAAAAACTCGCACTAAGCACACAAATAATGGCAGTTGTATAGCCCCTAAGCCTACGATTAGGCAGTGGAGCTAAAAAACCGTTAAAAACGTTCACGCTATCGAGAACTTTAAAAACTCGCACTAAACACACTGCGGGCGCAGACTCGGGCGGCGCGGGCGGCCCGCCCCCTCCCGCGCCCCGCACCCCCGCCGCACCACTCCGAGACATCGACCTCAGCAACGTTAAATGCAGTAGATTGTTAAATAATGTGCAAATAAAAAGAACACGAGAACATTGTGATTTATTTTTTTATTAAAATCAAAGTCATTTGTTTCCAGCTACCGGTCCCCTTTTCTGGTTTATTTTTCGGCTGCCTGCAATAAAATTTAACATTATAGTAGAATTATTTTATCCATGCAGTTTCGGTCATAAAACATAGCCCGGCTAGGGCGGTGAGCATGTTGCGCGGGCGCAACGCCATTTATCGATAAAAACAAATGCGTCATTGAAGGCAGGTACACGGCGGCGGGGTGATATACGAAGGGTGGTGAGACATTGTTATGTTATGAGTAATTTGTTGTACCTACCTGCAAATAATAGTACATATGTCGAAAAGAAATGTGATTTTGTGCATTCGCTCTCTGAATTTTTTTAATGACACAATGGCTATTCGTTTGTTTTGTACCAAAACTGCAGAATTTATTCAAATATTTTGCTTGTTGGCAAAAATATACCAGCACAAGCACGTGTTATTATCAACAATGTGTTAAAAAATTTCACCAAAATAAGAATAGATCCCGAAAAGTTACAAAGTGTTAATTTCTGCCGTTCTCGTTAACTTGCTGCGGCGATATGTGGTGTAAGTTTTCGATTAGTGATTTTTTCTTTCATTTTTATCACTAACCCACAAAATGACAAAACTAAATACACTATCGATAACGCTTATCGACAACAATAATGCGCATCACTATGCTCGTCCATAAGGCTCGTGAGTGGAAGAGAGAGCGAAATACTCGCTGCTCCGCTCCGATTTTTTATGACCCAAACTGCACGGACAAAATAATTCTACTATAGATATATTACTTCTTATGAATTACGTTTTGTTTTAAAATGTAATCACTATACTACGGCTCCGTCGGGTGCACACACTGACGAGTGTGTATTTACGATTACAACTGCAAATAAAGGCCACGCGCGCTCGTACTTTGCAACAACTATAGCTGCGCGCAGTTTGGTAGCTCCCATACATATTACAAAATATTTGAGAGCTCCGTCTGCTTGTGTCGCAAAACGTCGTACGATCCGATTTGGTACGTGAGATGAAAACTATTATTCCAATGGCATCGAAATTTGACCCTCGCATATTAAGTTGGCTTTAACATGTCTATGCCCTGTCACTAATGTGTGACAGTAAGTAACAAAACCTTCGATAACCACAAAAACTAAAAACTACTCGCAATATGGGAAATTGTACAATTATACTTAAATAAACTACATAAAATTTATCAGCACCCTCCTCCAGATAATCGGCAACAGTAAACAACCTCAAACAATACGTACGCTAAACAAATTGTCCAGCTCGTCGAGTAAGGTCTCGTGGCGGAACGAGATCCTGACGTCGGGGACGTTGGTCTTGGTGATGTCGTTCCCGGCCGGACCCTCGTGCACGTACTGCGCGCCCAGCCAGTACTGCTTCATCTGGACCACGCGCAGACACGATAGCTCATACACGGAATTCTTCTCCATTGTTAGAGTCAGGGGGCCAGCGCGCAGCCTCGTTAATTTTTGTAGGCAGTGGCTTGGCTCTACCATTTGCTGAAGAACATGGGCGACGTTAACCACTCACCATCAGGTGGGCCGTATGCTCGTCTGCCTACATGGGCAATAAAAAAAAACTCTTCACCAATTTTAGTGGTTATTTAGTACCAACGAAGCTGACAGTTGGTCTCGGACGATAGCTAACCTCCAATTTAATTATTTGACCACACAGTTAATAAGGTTGTTTTATTTTCTTCCTATGCTAGTTAATTATCTGGTGAATAGTGAAGCTCACAAGGCTCTAAGCTGACGTTTGCTAACACTAGCCCTAACAAGTGCAGTGCTTCGCAGAATCTATCGCTGTTCAGAATCGCAACCCACTGAGAAACTGTGTGTCTGAGGGTTAAGTTTTCTTTTTACTGCATAGATTGGTGGACGAGCTCACAGCCCACCTGGTGTTAAGTGGTTACCGGAGCTCATAGACATCTACAACGTAAATGCGCCACCCACCTTGAGATATGAGTTCTAAGGTCTCAAGTATAGTTACAACGGCTGCCCCACCCTTCAAACCGAAACGCATTACTGCTTCACGGCAAAAATAGGCAGGGCGGTGGTGTCTACCCGTGCGGACTAGAGGTTCTAATGCCCATAAGCTCTTGATTGTTTAACCACTTCTATATTATGTACCTCACAAACGGTGTCGGTGTCCGTACCAATTGCGAAGGAGCCGGCACAGAACAAATTGTGGCACTCACCTCGTGCGGGAACCCGGACATGAGCACAGAGTTTCTGGCCAGCTCGCACATGTCGCACGAGCTGAGCTTCCACGCCTGCGCGGCTATACTGTACTCCTCCATCAGCGGCTCCTGGCGGTTAAACGTGTCCAGTGGAGTTGCGACAAAATATAACAACAATCTCATAAATTACTAGCTTTTGCCCGCGACTCCGTCCCCGTGGAATAGTTACTTTGGCATAACGCAAAATTTTACCCCCCACTTCATTTACGTAGAAAGTGAATTAAACCCCTATTTTGAAACATTCTTTATTGGTGCTCCACTTGTATTAGATGTTATTTAGCCTATAACCTTCCTCAATAAATGGGCTATCTAATACTGAAATATTTTTTCAAATCGGACCAGTAGTTCCTGATAAGCGCGTTCAAACAAACAAACTCTTCAGCTTTATAATATTAGTATAGATTGGTTGTGTTGTGTGTTGTGTTAGAATGTTAGAGTCACACTCAGCAATTCAGCATGTGACTAACATTGTTGTCATTAGTGTTTCTTTATAATTAAGGTGTGTAGCAATAAATTGATAACCAGGTCATTGTCAACCGCTGTAGTGGGAGGAAACTTACCATTAGATAAAATGACACTAAATTCAAACTGACTTCGCTTCATCAGACATCTCAAAATTACCTATTATCTTCGATCGAATAGGCCCTGCTAGGGTCCAAAACCGTGCCGTTTATTGTAATCACGAGTGCTCACGGTCGGCATTCTGTCATCAACGTATTGTCAGTCATAATATCAACGCCACAACAACGAATAAGCTACCCTAGTAAAATGGAACTGCAGAGGATCATCCGTGCTCAGAGTGACCCGGAGTCCTCTCGCGAAGTACTCCGGCAGCGGATTCCTGTGGTAGTTGAGGAACAGCGAGTTGTTGCTGAGCGGAGACATCGCGATGTAGATCTGGGCCAGGTAGTACGCGTACTGGAGCACGGGCACCTAAGAATAGAGTAAGGTTTTATTTTTATTTTTTTTATTGCTTAGATGGGTGGACGAGCGCACAGCCCACTTAGTGTTAAGTGATTACTAGAGCCCATAGACATCTACGACGTAAATGCGGCTCCCACCTTGAGATATAAATTCTAAGGTTTCAGTGTATTTACAACGGCTGCCCCCCTTTCAAACCGAAACGCACTTCTGCTTCACGGCAGAAATAGGCAGTGTGGTGGTACCTACCGTTTGGGGGGCCGACGGGCTGACGTTGCAGAGCCTTCGATTCGCCTCGAAGGCTCCGTCGGCCGGGCGTCCTTGAAGTGAGCTGCACTGTCTGGTTGCAGTGTTGACCGCAGTAACCCCCCTACTCTATCCGGGTTCTGACCTCGGAGCGCCCCCTAGGCGCGGGGACCTCGTAGGAGGTTCGGCCTCCTACCCGAAAAAAAAGGGCGGTGGTACCTACCCTCGCGGATTCACAAGAGATCCTCCTACCACCAGTAAAAGTGATAATGGACTCAAGCTTTGTGTATCCAGCCACAGCTGAAGCTGATATATCGTGGATGAATAGAAACCTTTCTCAGGATGAGTCCATGAGATATGTTTTCGGCGAGCAGGAATCCGGCGCTCAGGTGCGCGGCGGGGCCGGCCTCCCCGCAGTGGGGGCGCAGCACGAACGTGTTCAGCCCCTGCTCCCTTTTTAAACAACCAAAAAAATATTAAAAACTTTCAGTTTTGTGTGCGGTTTCAAAGTTAGGACAGTAGCTACTTCAGTAGACCAAGGACCGCGATGATATCCGCTGACAACATGCCACTAACAATATGTCATCTAAATAGGTATATACAATTTCTTAGACGCTTCGAATGCTAGTGCTTTAGTAGAGTCTACACTGGTGAGCATTACAATATATAAGTACCACGTAGGGGACGGCGAAACGGAAGGAATATGTGTAAGAGGGGAGTGAGCGAAGAAACGGTATATGATAGAGGAGTATGGAAGGAGAAAACGCGCCGACCCCAGGTGACTGGGAGAAGGACAGGAGAATGATGATGATGAGGCACGGGAATCGTCTTGGTTAGTGTCTACAAGGGTGACGACAAATGCTTACTTGCGCAGCTCATTGAGGGTGACCATGTTAGCGTACATGTAGTACAGGTAGTACGCGTACGGAGGGTTCTCCTCGTCGTTCCATTCCTCGGGAGTTCTCATATGTTCGCTGAGGTTCGGAATCTCCGGCTTGGACTCGTCGTCCACGCTATCGAACCCGATCACGTGCTGGACAAAACATATTTGATACTACGAGTATTAGAATGCCGATAGAAGCAATGGGGTATTTTAAAATACAGAACTACTTAAAAGAAAAAAAAACTAACTTATTGTAAGTGTGTAAGGATGTGGTAAATGAGTGAAAGAGGCATGTAGCGCTGTGAACAATGAGGGAATATAAAAATAACAAAACCTCATTCAACCACATGCCTCATATGTTAGGAGTGGACAGCGTCACTTAGGGGTAGGAAAAATAGATAGTAGCCGATTCTGAGGCCTACTGAACATGCATATAAAATTTCATAAAAATCGGTCAAACCGTTTCAGAGGAGTATGGTAATTAACATTGTGACACGAGAATTTTATATGTATAAGATATTGTTCAGTAAGTCTTAGCACACACACGACGCTCTCTCTTCGTGTTATTGAGATTATGAAATGAAACTGGACCACTGTAACTTAGCTGTTGGATTGCGAATTTGTTCGTTCCGTCTGTCCTATTAATCCGTCCTATTAATTTTCATCTCTTTTTGGCTGCATTTGGGAGAAAAGATAATGTAATTTATGTGACGGGCGCTCGCATGTCACATGACCGATGTAGCAGGTTTGCTGATTAAATCTTCAAACTGCCACTGCGTTTTCGAAAGATATATCAAACGAATCGTTCCTACTGTTTTTTAAATATAATTTGCAGTGAATATCAAACCGCCAAAAACTTGTGCAGCTCCGGATTGGAACTGGGGTCGATGGAAACTTCAAACAACGGATCAAAAAGGTTGCTCAGAAACTGCTGGAAATTCTTCAGCAACTTGTTGATACGGTAGATATCACTACAACGAAACAAAACTAGATCAAGTTTTATTAATAAAATTCTATCTATTACACAAGCTATGCTACACTATACAATGTATATCAACGCTTAAAGCTGAATTAGTTAAGTTTTAACTACCAAAAACAAATTAGCAAGTCCGTTAGTAAACTCTTTAACTTCAAATACCTACGCAAGATAAGCTAAATAGTTTCGGAGATAGAAGTTGTCGTGGCCTAAAGGATAAAGACGTCCGGTGCATTCGTGTTGAGCGATGCAACGGTGTTCGAATCTCGGGCGAGTACCAAATGTTCAGGATTGACTTCCACGGTGAAGAAATAACATCGTGTAATAAAAATGAAACCCGCAAAATTATAATTTGCGTAATTACTGATGGTAGGACCTCTTGTGAGTCCGCAGGGGTAGGTACCACCACACTGCCTATTTCTGTCGTGAAGCAGTAATGCGTTTCGGTTTGAAGAGTGGGGTAGCCGTTGTAACTATACTGAGACCTTAGAACTTACATCTCAAGGTGGGTGGTGCATTTACGTCGTAGATGTCTATGGGCTCTAGTAACCACTTAACACCCATCTAAGCAATAAAATAAATGTATTTGCGGCGAATCCACCCCTATATCACTGTTATTATGACAGGAACCTAAAACAGTTTTGACAGACTCACTAGAGCCTGGGGACCTGCACGAGCCACCTCACGTGGGGCGAGTGCACGTCGTTCCGGACCGCCCACGACGCCAGCCGACTCCACTCACTGCTGCTCTTGCAGTACACCGAGATGCGGGGCTCGGAATACGTGTACTTATTCTCTGCGAAATCCGACATCACTTCCTGCAAACGCAGCATCTTGTACTAATTGAGCATTCGGAAGGCGGAAGGCGGAAGCGTCGGCGGAAGTTCATTTATGTTGTAGATATCTCCATAGACATCTACTACGTAAATGGTTCGATAACCACTTAACGTTAGGTGGGCCGCGATCTCGACCCTCCATCTAAGCTTAAAAAAGTTTTCGGTTTCGTTTTTTACTTAACTTCATTGCATATGAGTCGCGTGATCTGTTTGGTGTTAAGCGGTTATCAGACCATAAAAGCCACATGGTGAATATCGCCATCATCTTGTCGTGCCTTTTCTACTTCGAATACGTGATACAGTCTACAGCAGTGTTTCCCAACCTTTTTTGTGCCATGGCCCCACTGTAACATTTCTAAAATGTTTATGTCAACATAACTAATTTTTTACATTTAAAAATTTACATGTTCACTTAACAAACATAAATGATAGGTTTTAGGAAGAAGTCACTATGAAATTCAGATGAGAACACAGTAAATAATATTTCAAAACATATAATAAAAAACTGAAATTTAAATTCAAAATAATTTGAACAGATTGATAATTTGATACAGATTTCCTATATTAATTTAGTGCGATTGCCCCTCTTAAATATCAAATTGCCCCCTTGTGGGGCGTAGGCCCTATGTTGGGAAACACCGGTCTACAGGAATACCTTAATGATGTTGGCGAAATACGTTCCGTTCATGTAGTTGTCGGTCTTCAAGAACACTTCCCTCAGTCGGCTCTCTCCGACCGGATTGTATTTGGCGTTGAACTTATCAAAACGATGGAAAGTGTTGCGGTCCTGGACATTTCATCTTCATTTATAAACCGTCCAAGGGTGGAGTCAAGTCGTTTTGAAAAATATATTTCATTAAATCTGATTGATTCGGTGGTGCATTAGTTAGAGCTGAGGGTCGTGGGTTCGATTCTCGCATCGGACAAACATTCGTGTGATGAACAGGTTTGTTTGCTCTGTGTGTGGATGCTTATTATTTATATAGGTATGTATTGAAAAATATGTATGTTTGTCAGTCTCTGGTACCCGTAGCGCGGGGAATCCTAAATTGGGACCGGTTGATCGTGCGTGATTTGTTTCCAATTATTAAAAAATATATTAATACAACAATGATTTATAAATTCTAGTCCGCTTCGGAACTAGTGATCTACTACCAGTGTACCACAGGGTTCGGATTCAATACCTGGTTGATATTGTTTTTGTTTCGTTATGGTTTTATAGTTGTACATTTCCCTTGCTCAAAACACGCCTAACTCCTGATTGATTACTGAATAGTTAACTTGATAGTAATATTGAGTGAACGACAAATAATATATGAAAGGCAAATAAAGCTACATCTTGCGGTAGCTCTTTCTTATTTAATTAAAAAGAGTTACCACTAAAATTCTGTTAACTTATAATCTGTGTGCCTTACCGCGTGAACGTCCAGTATGTCAACGTTGAGGTCGTAGGCGTCGAGCTGCATCTCCTCAAACACGGATTTGAGGGTCATCGGGACCCCGCGTTGCAAGGCCACCACCTCGTGGGCGTTCTGCCGCAGGGTACGCTTGATGAATCGCAACAAATGTTTCTGGTTCATACACGACGCAGCGTGAATGTGAGTATCCACTTTTCTGAAAATTTGTTATGTTGATTTTAAAAAAATAGGGGGTATGGCCCGTTGCGTCATCAAGAACCGGTGTCATTCGCGAAGCAATGCTTGATGTATAGGATAAACGTTTTGCAATGAAGTTGACCACACTCAAAGCGATGTCTAGGTTTTTTTGTTTTATTTTGAAGGAAGGATTACTAGTGGTCCAAAGGCCTTTCCAGTTTCACCAGGACCTGTGGGCGAGTTAAACTAACAGGAGGGGTGGGATTTGTTAACAGCTGTCCGGGCGTCTCCAAAGGAGACCTAACAACTCAAGAGTTTAATATTAGGTCAAACGAGCTCGAATCCATTTATAGATAATTTTTGAAGTCTGCTGGTTCCTCGCTCCTGCTGGAGCCATCCTCGTACACACACGACACGTCCAACTTCGTCGCGCTTAAACTGACAATTGATTCAGTAACTGAATTTAGAACAGTGTAATCAGAAAACAGTGTAATCATCTAAATTTGCTTCTGAATTCAGTCGACTAAATTCAGCCAAGTGTAATAAGACTGTATATTAGAGCTGTGAATACAATGCCGTGGTATGCACACAACTCTATGTAGCGTACGCTGTGTACCTGATATTATAGAAGTCTCGATGCGGAACAGCTTTCTGTAAAGCCAACTCGTGAAGCTCATTCAGCAGTACGTGCATCTTGAACTTAGACTTCAGGTAGCTCAGACGACGAAAACAAAACGATTTCCTGTGTGCCAAAAATAAAATCCACAAATAACTTAATTTTGCCGAGGATGTTTTTTTACTGGTATAGTGAGCCCACACTGGCACGGATCAACTTCCTACTGCTATTGACGCGAAGTCACCTCCTGTTTGCACCATTTCCTGCCCACCATTTCAATTTGTGAAGACTTTAATAACCATTGACTCTACACGTCAGCGCTTTAAAGTACATATAATTATTTTTTTTGGTTAGCGTCGGGTTTTAAAAAATATAGTGGCAGCCTCGGCAAACTAGAGCTCGAACTAGAGATCAAATACACAATTTTTGTAGCGTATTTTGTTTCGATTATAGTATTTCCTAAATAGAATCGTAGCTAATATATGTACTGTACTGTGAATTTCGCTTGTGAAATTTTCAAATTCATCCAACGCATACTGGTGAAGGTGGAACGAATCTACTAACAGCGGTCCATCAGCGACCATGTCGCTCAGCTTCCCCATATCGTCGACGTACTGCTTGAATTTGACGGTGCGGTAAGGTAAGGGCCTGCCCGAAGCCGCATCACCCTCGCTGCGGTAGACCGCGACCACACCGTCCACCCATCGGAACGAGTAGCGCCGATCCGGGGGGCTGGGACAAGCCCACGGGTCCACGAGTCCTGATGGAATACTCCACATTACGAATATTATTATTATTTCTAGGAAAAGAACTATCAAAGTTACTGAACCAATTATAAAAATATGCGAATTGTCATAAAATTCAAAATACCCATCATTGGCTCCACATCTTCGTGGCTCTCCAAGGAAGTTCTCATTGTGTCAGCCGGCTTTGTCATGGATATTCTGCTCATCAGTGGAACTTGAAGACAAACATACTATTAGATGTCAATTGACATGGCTGAAGAAAAACTGAAGCTTAAAAAGAGTATTTATACCATTGTGTACACTAATTACGTCACCTCATTTTCAAGCTGGAGTGGGTTTCTCGAATATTTAGTTAATACCAAGTCAGTTCTTGTTTGAGCAATGCTCGTAGTTTGATTCAGTAGCTAACATCTTGTTTCTTGCTCGCTTTGTATTTAAAATGAAGAGAGAATAATGGAATCACGTTTTCGAATGAGCGAGCCTTGAGTTTTCTTAGCACTATTACAGAGCCTTCTTTAAAAGGGGTTTAAAAAAGGTCCCAATCGAAGGGCACTATGACTTAGCTGTGTGTTTAACGATGCCTACGAACAATAGTCATTAATAGGTAATAGTCATTAATAAGAAAGCCGCTCGTTCGAATTTAGGTGCTTACTCTCCCTTAAACAGAATCCTTTGGGACTACAATAATGTCCACGGTAGCGAGGTCTCCGTCAATGTTCGCTCGAGTTGTCCGATTGCGCTGAATTAATTTTAAGTGAAATAGATGTTTTTTCTAATTGTCTCACAACTTACAGGAAAAATCTGTCGCGGATCATTTCCCAATTAAATATAAACTAGTGGTCCCGTAGTAGTCGAAATTCGACTATAATTAATTGGAATTGTAAGTTTGTACACTATTAAGATTGTATTTTATACTTCTTTAATCACAAATTTCGCCAAGACTACTCTATAAAAAATATTAACAAAGACAAACAATATTTAATCTATTCTCAATTTGACAACAGACGACAAGAACAAAAGCTTGACAATAAATAGTATGCATGCGTGTGTGCGTCAACTACTATACATGGTATGTAGTGTGTGTAATGTTTTCTTTATTGATTTAATGTATCTTTTATGCATTATTTAAAAAAAATATTAGCATTGTGCACTTCTTCTCTATATTCTCTATAAGTGTGGAAAATTTCATACTCCTCCGTCCGCGCAATTTTCGTAAAAAGGGATGCAAAGTTTTTGCTTCACGTATTAATATATACATATAGACATTCAACAAGTGTGTCATACTGACATCTAAGTTGAAATAAATGATTTTGAATTTGAATTGATTTTTGAATTTGAATTTGAATCTTAAGCAATCAATCAAATGTAATCAAATCTTAGTTATATATTTTTTTTATTTTTGTTGTTAATGCCATCAATCGATGGTTAATGCACTGTCGATTGCACCTTTGACATCTGCCATGAACTTTGTTGGTGCAACTTAATAAATAATGAAATAGGTAGCATGGTTGATATAACAGGCGAATATAGACAATAGAAACACTAATAAATAAAACTTTACCAACATCTAGTAACGGAATGGTGCGGACTAAGAGTTACATTGTTGTGTCGTTGCTGGAACTCTTCGGAGGAGCACGTTGTCAGCTGTAGATACTGCTCGGCTGCCATACCTTGAAGAATTCAACCAACCTACTGGTGGTAGGACCTCTTGTGAGTCCGCACGGGTAGGTACCACCACCCCGCCTATTTCTGCCGTGAAGCAGTAATTCGTTTCGGTGTGAAGGGTGGGGTAGCCGTTGTCACTATACTGATACCTTAGAACTTACATCTCAAGGTGGGTGACGCATTTACATTGTAGGTGTCTATGGGCTCCAGTAACCACTTAACACCAGGTGGGCTGTGAGCTCGTCCAACCATCTAAGCAATAACAAAAAAATGTCAGTTATTATTGATTAGTCTTTAGAATCTCGTTCAGAAAATTGAACAAAATAAGTCTTTTCAATACATAACTTCCTCATTATGTTTGGTCTTGTTTTTCCGATTGAAAACTTATCGAACTTAAGTAGAGAGATAAGTTGCTGTGCGGAGGCAGGCGATTGTAAATGTTTCGTTTTTTTTTATTGCTTACATGGGTGGACAAGCTCACAGCCCACCTGGTATTAAGTGGTTACTGGAGCCCATAGACATATATGTACAACGTAAATACGCCACCCACCTTGAGATATAAGTTCTAAGGTCTCGGTTATAACGGCTGCCCCACCCTTCCAACCGAAACGCATTACTGCTTCACGGCAGAAATAGGCAGGGCGGTGGTTCCTACCCGCGCGGACTCAAAAGAGGTCCTACTACCAGTAATAATATATAAATAGTAATAGTAACACTATATAAACAGTAATAATATAAGCAATAAAATATTTTATGTGTTGAATGCATGTGGCCGGAGCGACTCAATCCGAACCACATGATTATATTGCTCTATCTAACACCCAGAAAAAAATATACTTAAGAACCTCGTAGTATTTATGGAATGTACCAAACTTGGCTTTGTCGATTCCGGATGAAATGTAAATTTCCAAATATAGTAACATCGGTGATATTATTTTAAAATTCAATAGCGTAAATTAAGGTACCATTCAGGCAATCAAAATAGGGCAATCTCCCTAGGATTATTAACCTACGTGACATGTAAGTTTCTATATAAAATAGGCAGAAACAAAGCACTTCAGTAGGTACATTATTCTTTTCTGTTTGTCAACTGTGAATTATTTTTTCTTTTAGCATTGACGAGTTGTAGCTCGTAATTGTACTTTTACATATAACACCCAAGAGAAAACGTAATACATAAAATGTATCTAAATTTTGAGAGGTCGGTCGATTATGGTCGTATTTCGTATTATTAGCGGTAGGCAGCGGCTTGGCTCTGCCCATCTCTGGCATTGCTGAAGTAACCACTCACAATCAGGTGGGCCGTATGCTCGTCTGCCGACAAGGGCAATAAAAAATAAAAAAAACCTGTGGAATATTCTGTATAGAACTAACTGTCCAAATTAAGTAAAGCGCGGGTAAAGTCCATAGATTCCTTGTGCTTGTCGAGCATTCGCCGCGGGGAGCCGTGCCCGGAGAAGAACTCCACCAGCGTCTCCGGGAAGGACTGCTGGGCGGCCTCCATGTAGTAGCGACGCAAGCCCAACGCTTCGACCAGCAGAGTGGCTGAACGTATCAGCTCCTCTATGGGCACCTGATGAAATACTCTCATTAAATACGCCAGCGGTAGCACGTTTTTTTTTATTTTTTTTTATTGCCCTTGTATGCAGACGAGCATACGGCCCACCTGATGGTGAGTGGTTACCGTCGCCCACGGACTTCAGCAATACCAGGGGCCAAGCCGCTGCCTACCGCTTAATACTCTACACAAGCCTCGTTTGAAGAAGGACATGTCATAGCGCTCGGGAAACACCGTGGAGGGGAGCTCATTCCATAGCCGGATGGTACGTGGCAAAAATACCTCTGGAAACGCACTGTCGATGAACGCAGCGGTTCCAGATAATATGGATGAACTCTGCTCCGATGGTTGGAGGTGCGATGATAAAAAAGAGATGAGGGGATCATCTCAAGCAATTCCTCAGAGCACTCCCCATGAAACATACGGTACAAAATACAGAGGGAACCGTAGTCCTTCCGCAGACCCAGAGGTTCCAAGCGATCCGTGAGGATCACGTGCCAGAGAATACTGATTTACTCGAGAGAGTACCATTTCAAAAAATTCGAAGTGGAACACAAATTCGAGTGTCTACAAGGATCCTACAATGATATTTAAAAATTTAAACGTGAGTGTAAATCTTCATAATAAAATGCAAATCAAAACAGATCAATGAAGTAAAAGAAAGACCAAAAGAACAATTGGAAAAATTCCCCGTAGTTAGCATGCTGCAATGGATATAGTAGTACAGGAGATATAATTCAAGGAGGGTTGACGTTAGACAGATCGCCAGCGGTAAAACTCATGCCAAATCCCTATGCAGCATCATAAGAGGAGATGCTACGAGGACCTTACTTAATGTGGAATAAGGGCAAGAAGAAGACCAATAAAAATAAAAGTTGTCAACCTTTGACATTTTCATACTATAATCAAATCCCAAAAATATGTATAAAACAAAGTCTACATATAGTTGTATAGAGTAGGGGTAACCTAATTAGATCAATTGTCTTAAATGAGAGGTACGTGTGACACAATTATGTCTACAAGTCTACATCTCCTCCGATTTTATTATTAATATCTATTAATAATAACTATACTATAACAAGATTGTGTTACAGAGTTAAATTATTATTCCTGTATCAAATAGACGGCCATGAATACGTCCAAACACAGACCAGGTTCACCACCCACCGTAAAGTTACTTTCCTTAAACCTCAAGCTCAAGCTTTTTTTAAAACAGACATGCGATTATAGTCCCAAAACACAACCTGCCTCGTGGTAGCAACTTTTTTTAATCTTTCCTGATAGCCTTGAGAGACTATATCAGTTTCTCCTTGACGTGTAAGTGAGCTCACGGGGCTCAAACCCGGAGTGTTGCTAACACTGGCCCTAGCAAGAGCAGTGCTTCGCAGAATCTAACACCGGAAACTCGACCCGCTGAGAAGATCCGGTGTGAAACTCAGTGGGCTGTGTCTGTGGGTTAATTTACTCGTCGAGCCCTTCGCGACGGGTTCGGCGAGGACGGTTACCGGTGCTTGAAGTACCTAAAAGTACTGTTAATGGATCGGAGGGATCCGTAATCACGTGTTTAGGACACGTGGCAGAAACAGCCGGGACGTTGGTACAGTCTCATGCGGGTCAAAAACACGTTCTACCATCAGTTCTAAAACTAGACGCTTGTCTTACCCCAGTGATATGTATACCGGCGACGGAGACTCTCTGGAACGGGACCTGGTTGTCGGCACGGCGCCGCGTGCTGTCGCCGGGACCTCGCACACGTGTGCGCGTCGCTTCGATCCCATTATCGTTCGCTTCGCTGTTATATTTTTTTCCATAGATAGTAATTTATAACCTTATTTAAGAAATTAACGATCTCGTGATACTTTGTGAACTGAACTTGTAGACACCGCAGTTATAATATCGAAGGGTGAAAATCTATTTGGTTTAGGCGACATTTTTTCAGCTTTACAGGATCGGTCACCGTCCTCGTCGAACCCGTCGCTTACGACGAAGGGCTCGACGTGTGAACCAACCCATAGACACAGCCCACTGTGTTTCTTGCTGGATCTTCTCAGTGGGTCGCGTTTCCGGTTCGGTGGTAAATTCTGCGAAGCACTGCTCTTGTTAGGTCCAGTGTTAGCAACATTCTCGGTTTGAGGTTGTGAGCTCACCTACACGTCAAGGCGAAGCGGAAATAGCCTCTCAAGGCTATCAGCATAGGTAGGAAAAAAAATTACAGGAGAGCTACTTTAATTTCAAAATTTGGAAAAAATACCATAACAAAAAAACTTCTTCAGCTATTTCAATGGGGTAAACTTAATTGAAGTTCAATTATAAACATCAAATTGTTGATACTAATACCAAATAAAAAGCACATTTAGTTACAGAGATAAATATCGCGTATTATGTGAAATGTCACTTAAACCAAATATCCTTTCACCACTCGATATATTAGTTCATCAATATTATCTGGAATCACCTACTTCTTACTACAATCTTTTCCCACATTGCACTTAGGTCTGGAATCAACCCCTTTCCGATATGACTTTTTGAAATGGCTCCCGATGTCTATGGACAGCATTTTCCATTAGATCCGAGCGCTTGGCCCTCACAGGTTCATGAGCATGTTTATTTGTATACTGGTACTATCATGATTTCACGGAAATCACACTTCATCATTAAATTTGTAAAAACTCGTAAAATAATTGTAATATTTTACATTATTTTTTAAATGAATTTCCTTACGAGCGAGATCTCGTCCATTTTTTATATTCCTTATGGGTTCCGAACATCCTGAATGTATTAGATGATACGTTATAATTTTTGCTTTTACGATATATAAATTTGGTTGAAATTAATTCTCTTATTTATTTTTAAAATATATAAAAATAACACTAGCACTTTATCCCATTTTACTTGGAAAAGATGAAAATTGAAGGTATGGTTAAAATTTTGAAAGTGACGACACTGATTTGTGTCAAGCAATAACTACTGATCGTCATGCTCCATAATATGTTTTGTACCATTTTTTGACATCTTTGTTCGTCATTTAATACAAAGAAGTTTATAAGAGATTCATTCACAGAAATAAATCAGGCATATTTGTATCGATTTGTCTATTCTTTTACGTCGCGAGCGCAGGAGCGGGTCTCGCGTTGCGTAATGAGATTAAATACTCTTTGTAATGAGAGTGCGTTAAGAAAATCATCCAATATAGTACATGGTTTTGGCACGGGGGTTACGCCCACTTCGCCGTTCTTCTATCTTGATATTATTTCTGTGGGTTCATTATTACAAGTTTTTCATGTGCACTATTACATAACAGTTCTTTATTGTAGGAACAGCCAGAGCAAACGTGACTCTAGTCACAATTGAGACCGTCAGCGCAAAAGTGGCCTAACCCACAATTTTTCATAATCATGCTTAGGTATATGTATATTATTGAAATTTATTTAAATTATAATAAAATTTTGATGCAAAGCCATCCATAGTTTTACTCATAGATAACAGATGGCTCTGTAATCATTATTGTTTTTTTTGTCTACTCAAATTCAAATTCATGGAAATTTAAACCTCATTGCTCCATAATAACTATGGTAAGCTTAGGCCACTTTGCGCTAACGGCCTCAATTTAATCTGATTTAAGTAAATCTAAAATTTTATATTTATATTTGTTTACAAACAGCAATTTCATTTTTATTTATATCATAATAATCAAATGTATCTTAAATTGGGTTTAGGCTTAAATCTTCTGTTTTTTCAAGGCAAACGCTGTTTTATTTTTCATTGTTTAATCATATCTTTGCGGACATTGCTTACCTGACTTTTTATTCGAATTTAGTAGCTTTTATATTGTATAATTTATACTTGATGTATGTACAACCAACTTGGTATAAAGGAACCCATTGTGAAATCACAACCCAAATTCCACGACACCCACCTTGACACATGAGGTCGAATTCTTAGTTGTGTAGCAAGCAATAATGCCTATATTCTAAGAGAACATTATTCAGAATAAGCTCTCCACAAGTACAAAGGCAAATATTTCCTTGATGGAGGCAGTTCATCGTCGAAATACAACAGTTTGGTGCGTTAGGTAAATAAAAGTCAATACGCTGTCAACTATAGTTATTTATTTGTTTTAATTACTAGGAAGCAAGATTAAATTAATAATTGCTAAAATTATTAATAAAAAGTCATAAAGAATTTTCGATAAAGGAGATAATAAAGGGTAATTATTATTTCCAAATTAGCGGTGACATTAATTTATTTTCATGAAAAATCAAATTAGGTACCTAAGTATATTTTGATAGGAGATTTTAACACTTCTAAACAAAATAATTTATCAATTCCTAAATTCAATACTAAATATATTATTTTTTAATTTAATATAATATACTATAATACAGGATAAAATCAAAACCGTAAATGAGCTAAATAGGTTATAAATTACGGACATTAATAATTGTAGGCGAGGTCAGTGACCCGCAAACTTCTAGCTACATTTTGTAACAGATTACACAAGCGAGGGTCTCTTCAATGTAACGGTGGGCGCAGAGAAGTTAGCTGGAGGTGGAATCACAGGCGAACCGAAGCTGATAGAATTGCTGGGCGGCTGGCGAGACTGTAAACGCGAACCATGCTGATAATTAGTCAAAACCTTATTTAGTATCTGTTCATTCTTTAACGTTATTGTCTGCATTCAGTGTTAATTAAAGAATATGTCAAAATTTACGGAGCATTTTATGTTATCTATGCTTTATGAAGCCAAAAGGTCTTTTGTTCTACTTATTAATGTTTAATCTTTTTTTAAAGGCCATATTTTTTTTACTTGTTTTTTTTGTATCTTTTAGCTGTGTGCTAAAATAGGTGTATTAGCTTTTGATGTGTGTTGTGTGCCTGATAAATAAATAAATAAATGCAAACATTATTATATGAACTAGTAAGTGGGTACTGGACAACGGTTCTTTAGAGTTGTCTATCATTTTTCTTATTATGTAACGTAAAATGGAATTAATTGCTTACATTTCTTTTGACATTTTGTGATGAAAAAAAAAACACTTATTATATCGTAGTATATATAGTATAGTAATCAGAGACAGGTTATAAAAACAAAACAATAAAACCGGTGCAAAATACTCACGATTATTAGTCTTATTACAATGCAAGAGAGTATCAAATTCGTGTTCAAATTTAAGACTAATTGAAAATTAAAAAAGTATAGAGAAATTGTAATTTATAGGCCAACAATCTATCGATAATAAAAAATTGGTTTCAAAATAGTTACCAATAATGTATTTAATATTTTTGTAATGTTTTTAGTTTGTTTGCAATAAATCAAAATAAATTTAAATATGAAATTAAATAATTCGTTTCAAGAATAAAATTAATAGCACGCTAAACTATACAAATGTAATATTGTTCGTAAGTTTTATCACTCCCACATTTAAACACACCAACAGACAAAAGCAAAACTCCCACAAGTATTTTTTTTCGAAGTACCTACATAATAGTAAAAGTTATCAAGTTTTAATACTTACCTTGATACCCTCGCCCAGAAACAAATTATTTGGTTAGTAATATACCGTTGGCTTGCTTTATAATCTATATATTAATACGTGAAGCAAAAACTTTGTATCCCTTTTTACGAAAATTGCGCGGACGGAGGAGTATGAAATTTTGCACACTTACAGAGAATATAGAGAAGAAGTGCACAATGCTAATATTTTTTCAAAATAATGCATAAAAGATACATTAAATTAATAAAGAAAACGTTACACACACTACATACCATGTATTTGACGCACACACGCATGCATACTATTTATTGTCAAACTTTTGTTCTTGGCGTCTGTTGTCAAATTGAGAATAGATTAAATATTGTTGTTAATATTTTATACAGTGTAGTCTAGGCGAAATTTGTGATTATTGAAGTATAAAACAACGTGTACAAACTTACAATTCCAATTAATTATATTCGAATTTCGACTACTGCGGGACCTCTAGTTAGTACTTAATACGGGTCTTCCAATCTAAGCTGGATGTTCACTAAATACTGATGGTATGACCCCGTACATCATATTGAGGGATAAAAGGCAATTTGGTTTAGGCGATATTTCGCTTAATACGCGACATTTGTCTTTGTGATTCAAGATAATAATATTTTTTCCAAATTTTAAATGTCAAATGGCTCTGTTAAGTTGAAAAAACGGTGCTTAAACAAAATTACTGGTTGTAGGACCTCTTGTGAGTCCGCACTGGTAGGTACCACCACCCTGCCTATTTCTGCCGTGAAGCAGTAAAGCGTTTCGGTTTGAAGGGTGGGGCAGTCGTTGTAACTATGTATTAGAACTCGTATCTCACTGAACTGAGATCTTAGAACTCATATTTCAAGGTGGGTGGCAGCGTTTACGTTTTAGATGTCTATGGGCTCCAGTAACCACTTAACATCAGGTGGGCTGTGAGCTCGTCCACCCAATTAAGCAATATAAAAAAAAGGCTTTCGCCCGTCGATACTCATAAAATACATATGCGAAATACTTAATGATAATAATTTTTAGATTATGGTTCTTATCTTATCGTGTCGAGAATCACCCGTTCTACCCCTGTTTCTATCGTTGGCAACAGTTCCGACTTATCTAGCGTATCCGAACACTATTAGAGAAGGCGTTGGGTGAGCACACGTCTAGTTACGTCGTGGAACGGTTTTTGGTTTTTAGAAAGTAACAGAAACGAACGCTGGTTCTGACCCAGCTGGGTATCCCGGGAGTACGAGTTTTTTTTTTATTTAATATCCTGACCAAATTCACTAAGACAAAAACAAAACATTTTAGACATGACGTTCAAAGCCTTTTTTCTATCAGACCAGGAAGAGCTAATTACAATTGGGTCAAATTAACTAAATGCTATTTTCAGCATGCTTATATATCTTTAATTTAGTTTTTTGTCAACCCCAAGTAGGTAGTATAATGGAAAAAAGCGACAAAGAAATCGGTACCACCCTAGACTACGCAGTTAATTCTTCTATCGAGTCCTTACAACGTAAACTGACCATGTTGAGAAAAGAGATTGAATTCGCAGCCAGATGATAATCCTCCGTTCTATTAATCTTTGGAATGACATTTATTTTAAATATTAGAACAATATATCTCGTTAAAGTATTAGCACAAAAAACATTCGACATCTCGTCATAATGAAATGTATAGGGTAATTAAATAAAATGTTAGCGAAACATTAACTTTATATGACCACAGAGCACACGGTACCTTAGAAGAAGAACGATGCGTCACATCGATGTAGCTGAGTCAACAAAACACGTCGTGAATACAAAATATGTAAAAGAATTACTTAATTTAATCATTTAGGATTAACACTTTTAATACTATTTTTAGACGAGTTTTATAAGATGGAGAATGTCAAATAGATGAATTTGTTTTTATAAAATGTAAATCTCAAATTCATCAAATTGTCTGTCATATGCTCGACTGCCTACAAGGGCAATAATAAAAATATATAGATTCCTAAACCTTACTCAGAAAATTAAAGATAACTAAAGAATAGTTATTAGATTGTGTAGTAATGTGGTCAATAGCCTGTAGTGTATGTGTGGTCAACTCTCTGTAACTCCCTAATTTATTTTTATAGTCTCGATCTAACTAAGCAAAATAATATTGGAAATGAATTTTAGGTTGAGTGTTTCAGAAAAAAGGCTAAATGTGGTCTTGCTCCAGACTTGCAAGTATAATTAAGACAAATTTCATACCGAACAAATTAAACTCGAATTTAAACAAGATGCATAGAGTTTTAATAAAGAATGAAAACAAATCGATTATACGAATTTTATTCCCAACAATAAGATAAACATTGATTATTAAAGATTAAAAAATTATCATAAACAAACTGTTTTGCGACAGTTTTATTATGTATGTAGTGTAGCGTCAACAATGTCAACTTAAGTACTAAATAATTGAAATTATCCAAATATTGAAGGTTAAATAATTTACAATGGATGTACTCTTTACTCCGATTCAACTATCTGAGCTTGAAACCCAAAGGCATCCAGATTATTAACAGTGTCGTTATATTGGCTCTGTTATTTTCTTTTATATGAATTAAAGTCATATGCGCGGAGTATGGCATTTGCTTCGATATTGAACACGAGTTATACGAATATAAAGCAAAATTTTGCTTTTTTTACCTTTAATATTTGAAAATTTTCAATATTAAGGACGACAGAGCAGTTATGTTTAGCCGGAATGACGAGTGTAATCTGTGGATCATTTGTAATGACGCGAATGCAAATGATTATTGTTAACTGGTCCTTAAGTGATACGAAGCTTAGGTCCGAACGTTAAGAGTTTCACGGGGAATGTTCTTAGGTAACTGATAAAGACTGTAGCCACTTCAATCTCGCAAATGTTTTGATACTAGAATCAATATTATACATGTGGGAGGATCGGTCTTTATATCTTATTCAGTCCACACTGGCACACTAGGTTTGTTTTAAAAGAATATGAATGTCAATGTCAGTGATCGGTTGTCAATGTGATAAGTTTTTTTTTTTAATAGTAGATTTTGGTGTCAAAGTTAAAATCCACTACTTTTAGCCCTATAATCCCACATATACATACCATTGTGTAATAATATTCTAAAAAATATGTCAAGTTAATCGACATAGATACACCGACAATAACCAACTTTAAGGCCCTTTCATTTTGCATACAGTTTTATTTCAAAACAAAATAACAGTAAGCAACTCCCGATCACACACATTACACCCGCCAAACTGACGTACACGTTAACAAAATCACAATCAAGCAATACACAATAATAGTAGACACATACGACCTTATCAAACGTGGAGCCTCGGATCTATTAGACCGCATTTTGTCTCTTTCGCCAAAGTTTCACTTCAGACATGAGCGAAAAAGACAAAAAATGCGGAAGGGCAGAATGCAGAATTACTAATATATGTAAATATTTACACTACGACTGTGTTTGGATGAGACCACGATCGTTAAGGTCGATACAAACTAGCTTATAGTTAGGAGGCTAAATCTCTCAACATTTAGAGGGTAGACACAAAGGGATGAGGGTAAAACATATTAGTTCATATTTTACAGGGTGGAAATCGAAACGAGATAATTTACTGCTATCTAAGGCTATCAGGAAGATCTCAAGATTTTACTATTGAATAATTATAAATTGGTAATGCAAGAAAAACAATAATTAGAAAACTGCATCCTACGATACTATTTCCTCTTCAATTTACAATCTTCAAAAGGTCTATTGGCGCTAGGAAAATATTAGGGGACTGCAATATCTTCTTACCAGTCCGTTGCATTTTCATTTGCAACCCTGGCTGTCCGTTGGTCTCTAGTTTTCATATTTTGTATAACAGAAATAGACAGCATATACATTTAAATCTTTCCTAACAATACAATCAAGTTGCACGTGTTTCAATTTCGCACAAATTTATGGGGAGTATGAGGGGATATGATTGGTTTGTACCGCCTAAAAATTTCAATAGGTCTGATTCTAATAGCAAAATGTGAGGATTGGTAACATTAAAAACAGCGTTAATTCATTAATCAATCAAATACACTAAGCAACGCGATAGATGTTAGACTTCTTTACGTATGGATAATATGAGGATTACTTATTGTAATTATTTATCTATTAGTTAGGTTACACGGGCAAATCGTTCCTGCCATTTAAAGGCAAATTGATTACTGACAAATTCTCAATCGGGATCATTCGTGAACACACTACACGTCACGTACGTATCAATTTCACGAAAACTGAGAACTGTCATGGGTGCCTTATCTTAAACTGAAAGTTTCATAATGAAATATCTTCTGTGCGAGTACAAGAATAACATCCATGTAGCGAGCCTAGTATTGTTTTTCATTCATACACGACACAAATACATACGTATGTATTTATTCCATTAAAAAAAAAATTCTCATCACAGCTAAAGCAATATAAAATCAATTTACCTTAATTCGTGTATATAGAAGTTAATCTTGATAATATTTAGGAATCTAATATTATTATAAAGCCAATAGACGTACAAAAATGTAGGTTGATAGTGCCAATTTTATGCCATCAAATAACTTAAGGATTTCAAATAAATATATGTATTTAGATAAATCATGATTACATTTTTGATATTCCCTTTTTTATTAAATATATTACATTATAATTTTATCGCATGATTCACGTTTGTATAAATTAGTTCATGATTGAAATGGTAAGTTCATCAGGTTGTTACTTGTAAAGCGCTCGTCTCCACAACAACAAGGAAATGCGTTGAAACTGTTAATAATTAGATTCAATCATCAATATGTAAAAGTATAAAAGCTTTCACTGAACCGTTCAATAAACGTTATGGGTATGTGAATCTACAAGTTCATTATATCAAAGAGACTCAGCATTAACAACGAAATGGCACTTTCAATCTTTCGTTTTTCATTTATCACAATGGATCTTAACCTAAATACACGGTATTGGGGCTAAATTTTAAATTACAATCCATTTATTTGTTAATAAAGTATATTATATATTTAGTAGCAACCACTGTCTTGAACGTGGGTGTAGTTTATCTCTGAGTAGACATACCATCCTGAAATAGCACGTATTATTACATTCCATAGAGGTGTAAATACATTAACTATTTACTAAGGTTAATCAAACTTTTTAGCACAGCCTAAATAAAAGCTAAAATGTTATATAGCAAAGACGTCACTGAACACTTAGCTCTCTACAGATAACACAAGCCTATTTGAGCTTTAAGCTCGCTTTTATCACATTTTCGAAAAGCATCTACAGTATTTTTATTCAATAATTTTTAAGTTCATTTTATAAACAAAAACAAAGAAATAAAACTCACAAACTAGTATATCGTCAAAGTAAACAAATTTATAGAGATGCGTTATTTGATAATTATCAAATTACAACGCTAAATTTTCCACATCTTATGCTAATGTTATAGACAAACACAAAACATGACACATTCAATTTAACAACAAACAATCACAGTTCAGTCGAAACAAAAATCTTCACATACATCAGTTTCTCAGTGATTGATGGAAACCCGTGTCTGTGTCAAGTGTAAGATAGTGAGAGCAACAGATATTTTGTTTGAATATTCTGTTACGGGACATTTGTTACTAATATATCGTTAAGTTAAATACTTCGTTTTCTATAATACACGGAAGCCTCAGAGGTAATATTATGGCAGTTTTGCTTAAACTTGGCATTCCATAAAGGTGTTCAGAAAACAAAATTACTAATCTATTTATCTTCTAGAATTGCTATGATTAATTTTGTCAACATTTTAACGTTAGAAGCCAACTTTTTTGCAAGTCCGAGTAAGTTTTAACTGAACATATCAGAAAGGAAACGCTGGAAGGAAGGAAATGCCTTTGACGAATTTTACTAAATTTATTGGCTCTAAACAGTTTCAAGGTTTAGCTTGGCATTTAGTCACTATAATGTCACATGTTTAATAATTTAATCAGTTTGATAATTTACAGTTTTTCCCTGCTAAACCTTAAAACCGTATTTCATGTCTACGACTCGCGAACCAAACACAATTTAAAAAGGAACAAGAAAGAAGAGAAAGAGAGAGAGTCAGAGTGATCTAGTCATCTAAGTGGTAGGTTGAGCTTTCCTTATAGAAGGGTACTGCAACTGTACCTTGAATATGTTGGTCAGCTCATCGAGGATGGTCTCGTGACGGAACGAAATGCGGATATCGGGTACGTTGGTTCGAGTTATGTCATTACCGGCCACACCTTCCTTGGTATAGTTGGGCCCTAACCAGTACTGCTTCATCTGTAATTGTAATGATTATAAAAACTAGCTGCCTTTGTAGCCACATAGGGTTGCCACCAACCGATTGAAAAAAATAAAATTTTAACATGTTTTTTTAACCGAGTTCATAAGAGCAAAGATTTAGCCATATATGAGCATTCCAATATCTGTTACCCTGTATAGTCGCCTGTCTTAGATGGGTCATAAAAGTATATGAAAGTATTGAGTAGCTTCGACCTTAAAGACGATAACCGAAACTCGGATACCCTACGTAACTGGTGGTAGGACCTCTTGTGAGTCCGCACGGGTAAGTTCCACCACCCTACCTGTTTCTGCCATGAAGCAGTAATGCGTTTCGGTTTGAAGGAAGAAAGGAAGTCGTTGTAAATATATTGAGACCTTAGAACTCATTTCTCAAGGTGGGAGGCGGCATTTACATTGTGGATGTGTCTGGGCTCCGGTAACCACTTAGCACCAGGTAGATCGTGAGCTCGTCCACCCATCTAAGCAATAAAAAAATGACAAAAACATAAAAATACTCAATGACACTTGGACATATAGTATTTTACTCCTTGAACCAAATGGAATTTAATAAGGAAAATATGTAACCAGGTCTAATGTTTATTGTGGCCCATTGTGATCGGCCATGAGTACTCCCAATCTATTTTGTAATGAGATATAGTTAAAAACGTACAAAAATATAAATATATAATAAAAATTTGTACCTCGTGCGGGAATCCGGACATGAGCACCGAATTCCTTGCCAGTTCGCACATGTCGCATGAACTGAGCTTCCACACTTGCGCTGCGATACTGTACTCTTCCATCAGCGGCTCCTGCACGTGCGCAGAATAGCGTGTACATATAGCTTAAATTAAGTATGTCTCGTCACCTCCAATAATGGTCTTTTTTTATTGCCGTATAGGCAGACGAGCATACGGCCCACCTGATGGTGAGTGGTTACCGTCGCTTATTGACATCAGCAATGACAGGGGAACAGCCAAGCCGCTGTCTACAGTTAAGTACTCTCCGCAAGCCTCATTTGAAGAAGGACATGTCATAGCGCTCGGAAAACTCGTGGAGGGGAGCTCATTGCAAAGCCGGATGGTACGTAGCAAAAAATATGTTTGGAAACGCACTGTGGATGACCGCAGTGGCTCCAGGTAGTATAGATGAACTCTACTCCGATGGCGGGCAGTGCGATGGTAAAAACGAGACGACGGTATCATTTCAAACAATTCCTCAGAGCACTCCCCATGGAACATACGGTTCAGAATACAGAGGAAACCGAAGTCCCTCCGAACGGCCCTCTTCTGTATGGATCAAATGGACGCAGCTGGTGTATCCCAAATACTAGCGTAGGTAGCGAGGTGAGAGTAGTACTCCACGCGAGGCCGGACCTGTGCTTTGCAATGGTCACTCCTTTAATTTTAGCATTTTTCATAGGATAGTGTTTTGTCGAGGTTTACGAAGCTTAGAGTTGCCAGGTGGATAATAAAAAAAAATACCATATTTGTTTTTTTTAAGTAAGAATATTGTTGGATGTCCATGTGTTTACCATGTGTCATGCAAGATAAAAAAAAACATGTGTGCAATTCACACGTAGTAGAAGTGAAACCTTCCAAAATTAAAATACTATTATCCTAAACGTCTTATGTATATGTAAAATTTTGTCATTAGTAAATAATTGTAAGGTAGCTCCCTCTGTGAATTGATATTTTAATTTCACGTATAATCCTAAATTAAAATTCACTACAAGAGCTTTCATACACACGTTAGTATCAAAAAAATCTCACAGATGGCGCTGTATTAAATAGTATGTATATTTCTGTCTCATTCTTTGCTGGCTTCATCCTACACATTTTTGTATTTGTGTCTCTTACCTGTCGTTTTTTCCGTTGCATCCGGTTTGAAATCACAACGATTCTAAAGAAGTTTTCACTTCATAAAAATTTTTGAGCCAACTAACATAGCGTGGTTTTTACAGAACTACATCTGATACCTTGGTGAAGTGAAACTGCAGGGGGTCGTCAGTACTGAGAGTGATGCAGAGCCCTCGAGCTAAGAACTCCGGCAGCGGGTTCCTGTGGTAGTTGAGGAACAGCGAGTTGTTGCTGAGCGGAGACATCGCGATGTAGATCTGGGCGAGGTAGTACAGGTACTGCAGGACTGGTACCTGGCGATAGGAAGTAGGCGCCGTGTAAATATAACCAGACGTGGCCTAAAGGATAAGACGTCCGGTGCATTCGTGTTGAGCGATGCACCGGTGTTCGAATCCCGCAGGCGGGTACCAATTTTTCTAATGAAATACGTACTTAACAAATGTTCACGATTGATTTCCATGGTGAAGGAATAACACATCGTGTAATAAAAATCAGATCCGCAAAATTATAATGTGCGTTATTACTGGTGGTAGAACCTCTTGTGAGTCCGCGCGGGTAGGAACCACCACCCTGCCTATTTCTGCCACGAATCATTAATCCGTTTCGGTTTGAAGGGTGGGGCAGCAGTTGTAACTATACTTGAGACCTTAGAACTTACATCTCAAGGTGGGTGGCGCATTTACGTTGTAAATGTCTATGGGCTCCAGTAACCACTTAACACCAGGTGGGCTGAGCTCGTCCACCCATTTAAGTAATACAAAAAAAACTCTTGGAGAAGTATGTACCGCCTACCTTTACTATGACTTTAAATACAGACTATCACCATTACTCAAAACCCGTTTAGCTGTTAGCTAGTTCCGAGAGTTTGTGGGGGGGCTGAAGTCGCTCAACACTATTCTTATTATTAGACTATCCTCTATTTTATTCCGCAGCTGTTAGTTACCTTCCTGAGTAGGAGGCCGTGGGAGATGTTCTCGGCGAGCAGGAGGCCGCAGACGAGATGCTGTACAGGACCCGCCTCTCCGCAGTGAGGACGCAGGACGAACGTGTTCAGACCTTGCTCCCTGGGAGTGTCATAGAATATTTTCAATTTAGGGCCTCTGACAGTCAAAATCTTAACTTAAGTGGTCACTGTCATTAGCTATGTCAAACCGATTCCTGTCGCTAAAGACTCAGTAAAGGTAATAAGAATGCTACGCACTGGGATTCGGTATAAATAAAAATTCTACAGAATCACAAGTTAACACTATATTCAACACTTAAAACACTCAACAAACACTTTAAAACTCTCGATTCGCTTTTTCCGCTTCGCTTCAGGTGATCCGTTCACTGTTTCGCTTCGAGTAGTTCCGATTACTAACTGACTGCGTGCCATCCCTGCAACGCTTTTATAGCCGATACCACATCCCTAGAATTATCGAGAATATTCCATACATATCTAGTATTGTGTTTCCGCTATCTGACAATAGATGGCGTTGTACTTCTCGAGCGTTCCAGGTGCTACTAGGTCCTTCGATATTCGTTCGACTATTCGGCGTTAGATGGCGTTACTCTTACCGGCGTAACAAGAAGATAGATAAAGACAGATGTAGGAGAGACAGCTTAAAGGGATACATGTTCACTTTAGAATCTGATGAGTTTGATTCTCTAAAAACGCACTGAGTTTTAACGCAACAAAACCTCAGACCCGAGAGTGCCGGTGATACGTGGCTGCAGTGGATGAGAGCTTTTAAAAATCAATGAAATAGTATTTAAAATAAATAATAGTTTAAAAACAACTAACAAAATAAGCTTTTATAGAAAATCCAACTAAAAAATAGAAAATGAACTTTAATAAATTTGAATTAAAAATAGTGTAAGAAAAAATTATTTTATTGTAAAAAAGCGTGGGGTGCTTTTCAGGATATTATCAAAATAACTCTTCTATATATCTGTTCATAAAATATTTAAAACTACTGATAACATGCACCCCACGCTTTTTTTACAATAAAATCATTATTATTTATTTTTCAGTTTTTAGTTGAATTTCAATTTTTTCAATATATAATATTTAAAAATTCAATTGTCATTTGTCCTTAATAAGTATATCAAATTTCGAGTTAATACGACGTTATGAAGGGGGTCAAAATCATGTTCAGGTCTGAAGTTAATAAAAAAAGCGTATTAAAAAGAACTTACTTGCGGAAATGGTTCAGTACAGTCATGTTGGCGTACATGTAGTAGAGGTAGTACGCGTACGGAGGATTCTCCTCGTCGTCCCACTCTTCGGGGCTTTTGACTTCGGTGTCCAGCATCGGGTTCTCGGGCTTGGACTCGTCGTCCACGCTGTCGAACCCGATCACGTGCTGGAACGCGGGTAGACGGAAACATGTTCAACTAACGCCATCTATCCGCCACAAGGATTCTTACGTGGGACTTTCACTGTGCTAACGTACCGAGGGGTGAATGACTGTATGGCTTAGTGTCCATTAACACAGATCGCCTCGGAGAGGAGAGCAGATTCTTATCACGTTTGAAACATTGAAGTAAAGTTTATTTTTGAATGTGCACTTTTTTTGTCATTAAGAATGCTTGAACACGCTGCGTGTGAAATAATAAGAGGAGCTGATTGGCTCCGATTGCGCACGCATCTCTTCCACCCAGTCAATGTGAAATAGTTGGCGGCTTGGTCCGGCCAATTCCAAACGATCCGGTCTGTGTGAACGGACCCATAAGCGACATGCTTGCTTCTCAACAGCAGAGCCATTTAAAGTTTAAAATTTCATAACAAAAAAACTTGATCAGCTATTTGAATGTGGTAAACTTAATTGAAGTTCAATTAAAAACATCGAACTGTTGATGCTGATACCAAATAAAACGAACCAAATAGCCTTTTACCCTTCGATATACATAGTGCCATTTTTATTCAAAAATATATATACGAAGAGCCCTAATAAGAGCGTTGTTTTAAAGTCTATGGTATTTACTTATGCTTCATACGGTTTAAAGTCTCAGCCGACTTCGATTAATGCGGTGTTAATGGATTCGTTTTGTCGCTCACACAATCGCTTTCACGAGTGTCCAATAACGAATATATGTTCAAACTATAATTGAGGCCTTAGAACTTATATCTCAAGGTGGGTGGCGCAATTACGTTATAGATGTCTATAGGCTCCAGTAACCACTAGGTGGGCTGTGAGCTCGTTCACCAATCTAAGCAATAAAAAATAAACTTACTGTGAGGAACTTGTGCAGTTCGATGTTGCTGTTGGGGTCGTTTGTGACTTCGAAAAGAGGCTGGAAGATGTTGTTCAAAAACTCGTGGAAGTCGTTCATTATTTTGTTGGACTTGAAGATGTCGCTGTAACAAACAAACATGTGCAATGGTTTCAGGCGCGCTGCGGGACTTGCTTCTCTGTGTTTACTGTCTAACTGTAGACGGCTCCCTGTGAAGTGATCGCCCATGGACCGCAGCAATGCTAGAAGACAGGCAAGCTGCTGCCCATAGCTTACTGTAGAACAGTAATGATGAGACGCACTGTGAGCTAGAGTTCTGTCTATTTCTGTGACTATGCATGCGGTTAAGTGTTATGGTTTGAAGAACAGAACCCTGTTTTATCTTAGACATACCTCTAAAAAATTAAGGCCCCCTATTATTTAGTTATAGGCGTTTTATAAGCTAGTGGTGGTAGGACCTCTTGTGAGTCCGCGCGGGTGGGTACCACCACCCTGCCTATTTCTGCAGTGAAGCAGTAATGCGTTTCGGTTAGGTATCGAGGTATCGACTATAAAAGCGTTGCAGGGATGGCACGCAGTCAGTCATTAATCGGAACTACTCGAAGCGAAACAGCGAACGGATCACTTGAAGCGAAGCGGAAGAAATGAATTGAGAGTTTTAAAGTGTTTGTGAAGTGTTTAAGTGTTCTAAGTGTTAATACAGTTTTAAGTTGTAGTTTGGTGAAATTTTATTTATCCCGAACCCTAGCGCGTAACAATATCGACGCTTGAATGGCAAACGTGACTAAGCGACAATGCGTGAACTTTACAGTAGACTAATTTAAAGTTGAAATACCTGAAAAAAAATCTATTTTAACGAATCTAGCTGTAGGATTGAAATGATTTTAATAGACCTAGAAATATATATTTTTTGCGCATCGAATATGGTTATTGCCTATCATTTATGTACCAAGCAGTTATTGTCGCTTAGTCACGTTTGCCTTTCAAGCGTCGATATGTTACCAACAGCTAGTGAAGGATGAGTGGGCAGCGCGTCGCATACTCACTAGAGGCGGGGTATCTGTATGAGCCAGCGCACGTTGTTGGAGTGCACGTCGTACTGGATGGCCCACTTGGCGAGCTTGGCCCACTCGCCGGGGCTCTTGCCGTACACCGACAGCCGCAGCTCCGCGTTCTGGTACTTGCTCTCCTCCAGGTCCGATGCCACCTCCTGGACAGGGACGACCTCGTGATATAATCTGACGCGGCTGTGTTACCGTGTCGTTGGCATCACACGCAGTATTACGTTATCGGTGTGCTTAGAACAGCTTTTCTACGTTTGCCGCTAGGGGCGCTGTTCCAAATTTTTTTTAGTGCTTAGATGTGTGGACAAGCTCACGGCCCACAAGTGGTTACAGGAGCCTTGAGCACCTTGAGATATGAGTTATAAATTTTCCCTTTTAACAGTACAACGGCCGCGCTTCAAACCGAAACGCATAAGTAACTCTATACTAATCGATTAACGTTTACGCGATCGAGTACTTAAAAAATTAACATTAGGCGCACAGTAGTGAAAAAATATCTATTGTTTAAATTAATAGCGGCGTCTATTTTATAATTTTTAAAGGCTTCGGTAGACGGTCCATGATACTTTATTCCCATCTAAAACATAGCATAATCCTCTCCTGTGTCCCTCGTCTTATCACAAATGGCGTTCACGTTACATATCCACGTTGACGGATCCGTATTGTTATTAAAGACCGGCAGACGAGCTCACAGATCTGGATTCGAGCTACCGGAGCCCACAGACAGAGCCCACACACATGCAGTCCCATGAGATTAACACGTTGGCTGCGGTCAGTAAAATCATAATACTTCATCTGGTGCGGTGGCGGGTCGATGCGCCCCATATTTCCACCAGTGAATGGTAGGTGTTTCTCGACCCACCAACACTAGGGTAGATTAAAATGCTATAGCTTTGTGTAAGCATACTGTATACAATTTGTAGTATATAGTTGTCGGTGTCGAACTCTAACAAACACCTGAAATAGTCGGTCCGCACCAGCTGAAAGTACCGCGGCAGGCCAAGATGGGTCTGTTCCGCAATAAAGGGGTTAAAAGTGAACTATCCCCTCACGCATCGTTTGGAACCTCTGGATCTGCGGAGGGACTTCGGATCCCTCTGTATTTTGTACCGTATGTTCCATGAGGAGTGCTCTGAGGAATTGTTCGAGATGATACCGGTATCTCATTTTTATCATCGCACCGCCCGCCACCGGAGTAGAGTTAATCCATACTACCTGGAGCCACTGCGGTCATCCCAGAGATCTTTTTTGCCACGCACCATCCGGCTATGGAATGAGCTCCCCTCCACGGTGTTTCCCGAGCGCTATGACATGTCCTTCTTCAAACAAGGCTTGTGGAGAGTATTAAGCGGTAGGCAGCGGCTTGGCTCTGCCCCTGGCATTGCTGAAGTCCATGGGCGACGATAACCACTCACCATCAGGTGGGCCGTATGATCGTCTGCCTACAAGGGCAATAAAAAAAAACGGCGATCAAACAGCGCAGCAATAAGCAGAGCTGTCCACCAGTACACCTTTTTCCAACATCCCCATGACTAAAGTGATCGACTCAAGGCAGCTAGCTGGTGTACGTGTTCATCATAGCGCAGACTGCCGCATACCTTAATGATCCTGGCGAAGTACTTCCCGTTCATGTAGTTGTCGGTCTTGAGGAACACCTCACGGAGTCTGCTCTCCCCGATTGGGTTGTACTTCGCGTTGAACTTGTCGAAGCGATGGAACGTGTTCCGGTCCTGATGAAGTACATTACGCGTTTAAAACTCGGTTTCTTCCACTTGGTGTTAACGAAACCACCGATAGGCAGCACCCAATGATATTGCCACAATGTGGAGACACATTGTTAAATAGCCCAGTGATTCAAGGAACAAGAACACAAGACCTTTTTTTATTGCTTATATCGTCTTCTCGCATTAAAACTGTATAATCTCAAAACTTACTAAATTTTACAGGAGAGTGTTTTAAAGGTTTAATAATATTATGATATTTATAATATTAATCATCTTTGCAATAATTTTTACCTGTTACATTATCTTTTAAAGTAAGATAAAATTATGTATTAATTTTGTAAATAGTAGCCAAATATAGGTAAACTAAAAAAAAAACTAAAACTAAACTACACTCTTTTGACAGTATTTATGAGAAAAATACTGGTGATACCAAATGATTCCGCATATTAACTCAATTTCTAATATTTTTGGAAATTGTACTTTTAATGCGAAAAGACGATATGTAACGACGAACGCGCGACCCACCTGGTGTTAAGCGGTTATCGGAGCCCATAGACATCTACAACAGGCCTTAGGACGGCAGCAAGCCTAGATCTATCACTGTACTTATTAGATTGTATTCTTCTTGTCATTTCCTCGTCTATGGTAAGTGTGACGATGAAGATCAGGTCTTGTAGTATTGCGGATGAGCCCTCGTAAATGGGTCAGTAAATCAAACTCACCGCGTGCACGTCCAGCATATCCACGGTGAGGTCGTAGGTGCTCAGGTTCATGGATTGGAACACAGACCTCAGGGTCATAGGTGTGCCTTTGTGGAGGGTCACCACCTGAAAACCGATTTTTTTTTAATTGCCACTGGTAGAAGGTGAGTATACGGACTATACAGATAAATCAAATCAAATCAAAAAAGTTTTATTCAACATAAATGAAAGTACATACTTATTGAACGTCAAAAGATATAATTAATAACTTCCAATGTAATATAATACTAAAGGATGACCTCGCTTTTTTTACAATAAAATTATTTTTTCTTACACTATTTTCAATTCAAATTTATTAAAATTTATTATCTATTTTTTTAGTTGGATTTTCTATAAAAGCGTATTTTGATTGATTTTTTTAAACTATTATTTATTTTTCATTTTTAGATGAATTTTAATTTTTTCAAAAATTTTTTTTTTTTTTTTTGAGTAATACTTGTCGTATACCGTTATCCACCCGGTATGGTAGAAACAGGTACCAGTAAGCGTTGGTATGATTAGTGTTAATGTACTTACCTCGTCCGCATGCGTCTTCAATGTCTTCTTAATGAACCGCAGTAAGTGTTTCTGGTTCATGCAAGACGCCGCGTGGATGTGCGTATCCACCTTCCTGTTACGAGAGACAACTGTTCTAAAGCAAACTTTAATCGTGAACTCGGACTCACAAAAACCTCCTATGTTTGGAACATCATCTACAGAGAGACAACAGGAAGTGTAGTTCGTCCTTTCCGTTAGGAACAGTTTTTTTTTCATGGCTGAGTTGGATGGACGAGCTCACAGGCTACCGGTGTTCAGTGGTTACTGGAGCCCATAAACGTCGCTCGCTACCCATCGTGAGATATCAGTTATAAGGTCTCAAAATAGTTACAACGGCTGCCCCGCCCTTCAAACCGAAACGCATTACTGCTTCACGGCAGAAATAGGCATGCACTTACTACACATCTGCAAATCTACAATGCCAGCAGGGTCTATCGAGAAACTTGTTGTTCAGGATAGGGTCAATGGCAAAAGATCTCGTGGACGAAGCCTCATGCGCTGAGCTGATCAAGTGAAAGACCTTACCAAAACCCTACTTAGGGAGTGCGTGCGCCAAGCCTCAGTTCGCGAACTATGGAGAACATCTGTCAAGGCTTTAATAAACAAGGATTCTATATGACCATAACTGCTCTACCAAAAGTAACCGACCATGATGATGATATTACAAATCAATACTAACTTAATATGCTTATCAAGAGACATAATAACTGAGTATAACTAATATACTATATAGCTGAGTTGGATATTTTTACTTGTAGGTTAGTTACGTTTATAAAAATTCCACGTTAGTAATAGGTTAGTAGTGTAATTGTTTAATTGTATGTAAAGAAAAACCTTCATGGTCTAAAACTCTTTTTAAAAAAAATGATTTTTCTTATATGTCATTCAGTGAAGTTTGACATTCAGTAAAAATTCAAATTCAAATTCAAAATCATTTATTTCAACTTGGATGTCATCAAAAACACACTTGTTGAATGTCAAAATGTAAAAGAAAATGTTAACTCTACCACCGGTTCCAAAAAAAGCCACAGTCCTGAGAAGAACCGGCAAAACAAACTCAGCGGGCTTTTTTTTTTTTTTTTTTCTCAACTATTTTCTTTTTTTTTTAAACAAGAAAACATATTTACAGTATACGAAAAAACAAGTCAAAACAAGTCAAAAGAAAGTTCAGTTTGTTAAAAATAAAAAAAATATTAAATNTTTTTTTTTTTTTTTTTCTCAACTATTTTCTTTTTTTTTTAAACAAGAAAACATATTTACAGTATACGAAAAAACAAGTCAAAACAAGTCAAAAGAAAGTTCAGTTTGTTAAAAATAAAAAAAATATTAAATTAAGGGCTTTAAATGTTGTTTTCTCATTATACACATAACAGAAAACGCAATTAAGTCTTTTATTGTTTATTTATTCTGGAATACCCAATATCATTATGTGTATATTGTGAATAAAATTATTTCCTTACATTATAAGTTAGATTAGTTTTCGTAGTCGTGTTGTTTTGTCGTATAGTTGTAAGGAGCGTTGTTGTACAAATTCAGCACTATATGTCTTGTTTTGTCGTGCGCACATAGCTTGTGTTGCAAGCTAGATTTTGTTTCTTTTTATTTGTGTTTTTTATGTATCTTTTTAGCTTGTGATGTGTATTGTGAGCCTAATAAATAAATAAAAATAAATAAATAGATTGGTCACGTAAATAGAATGGTAAGTATGATCTCAAACCTGATATTGTAGAAGTCTCTATGAGGAACTGCCTTCTGGGAAGCTAGTTCCCTGAGCTCGTTCAGCAGAACGTGGAGCTGGAACTTGGACGATAGGTAGCTGAGGCGACGGTAGCAAAAGGACTTTCTGTATAAATGTAAAACTGCATTTTTCTATTTGTCCTCAGAGAAACACAAGACCTCGGTGGGAGTTGCTTTGGCTACTTGTGAGTCACATTTCCACAAACAGTCCTAGGCAGTATTCTCCCTTTAATATATTTAAAACTGAGTCTATTTCTTATTGATATCTTGAGGTGGCCAGGAAAATGAATAAATGCGTTTACTTTTTCAAATACTAATTATATTGGTTTTAATTATTTCACAAATACAGACTTGGTATGCGCGTCCATCTTTTTTCTTCGTGTAATATTTTTTATTTATTTGACAATTGGTGCCACTATTGCGTTCCCTGATTTGTTATTGGTTCGTGCGATATCACGTCATCGTTGGCCAATCACAGCCGTCAATGTATGACGTGACCTTGATTCGTTAACAAAAACCCTATTGCAGGTTTCGATAGAATTTAATTTACAGATACCGTCACCTAACGAAAAAACGTTATGCCTCTGACTGTTGACTTAAGCATAAACCAATGTGGTTTCAAATAAAATCGGGGGGGGAGGGGGGGGGGGATACTAGTGCAATAAAAGCAAAAGTTTAACATCTTCAACGGTAATGATGATGATGATGATGATGATAATCAACTCACAGAGGACCATCGGCGATCATGTTGCACATTGTATTCATGTCCTGGATGTATTGCGCCAGTGTGATGTATTCGTAGGGCAGTCGCTCCTCTCCGTTCGGTCCTTGGCGGTACATGTTGAACACGCCCCTGTTTAGTCGTATGCTGTAGCCCTTGGGCTCCGGCATAGGACATTCCCACGGATCCTTGTCTCTGAATGGAGGGTGGACTATATGGTCTGAAAATTAAAGGACCATCTTCATGAGTAATTCTAATATGTAAAAATGGAGCTATCGACAAAAGGAAGATCTTTCACCGAGCAAGTGATATTGCTCGGTAAACCGACGCTCCGAACGCTTATATTGCTTATTAGCATATCTTGAAAATATCGGTAGCGCGATTTAGGCATCTGTCAAATGTCTTCTACTCTATAATAGTGTTGCACCGGTAAGAGTAATGCCATCTATCGCTGAATAGTCGAACGAATATCGAAGGATCTAGTATCATCTAAAACGCTCGAGAAGTACAACGCCGTCTCTGGTCAGATAGCGGAAACACAATACTCGTAATGTGTGGAATATTCTCGATAATTCTAGGGATGTGGTATCGGCTATAAAAGCGTTGCAAAGGATGGCACGCAGTTAGTAATCCGAACTACTCGAAGCGAAACATCGAACGGATCACCTGAAGCGAAGCGGAAGAAGCGAACTGAGAATTTTAAAGTATTAGTGACGTGTTCTTAGTGCTAATACAGTTTTTAAGTTGTACTCCGGTAGAATTTTTATTTATCCCGAACCCCAACGCGTAACAATAACTACCTTCACATATGTACATAATATACTTGTAGTTTGATAGGGGTACGTATCTTGAAGTCAAATGTTAGTTACATATATTATGTACACCTTCTTCGGGTTCTCGTGGCTATTATTTTTATTACTCCTTCTACTTTACAGAAGAAATAATCTTCCGAGCTTACCAGGAATTCTAGCATCAACATGAAAATCTTCAACTTAAACGTTTCCTATGTCACGCTCAAACACAATTTTGGAACAAGTTTCCTCACCCGCAATATGTTTGTTGGGTACTTTAACGGGTACGTGGTTGGCTACAGCGTCCGCGTCCATGCTCCTGATGAAGCGCGCCGTAATGGGCGAGAAGCTCTGCTGGGACATCTCCATGTAACGCTTGCGCATTTCCAGAGCCTGCACCAGGTACGAGGACGCTTGTTGAAGATCTTCCAGTGGTACCTGAGCGGGAAAGATAATGTAAGCAGTATAGTTGAAAAGGTTACATACAAGTAAAATTGTGTAGTTTTATTTAAGCATTGAGGATTATCGACGCGAAGAGGAGGATTTAAATAGAATATATTATAGAATATAATTTTGATGAATATGAATACTGAAGAGGAAGAGGTAGACCTAAGAAGAAATGGATGGATTGTGTGAAAGACGATATGGGTAGGAGGGGAGTGAGCGAAAAAATGGTATATGATAGAAGAGTATGGAAGGAGAAAACATGTTGCGCCGACCCCAGGTGACTGGGAGAAGGGCAGGATAATGATGATGAATACTGAATATGAATATGAATACGAATATGAATATTGATCGCTTTAGAGTCGAGACATTTACAAACAATACTGCCATGGTTTAATTTCTCTCCCAAGGTTTCTACGAAGATATTAATGTTTTATCTGAGGTGTCCTATTGAAACACAATGCCCGTTATGTCGACATATTAGCCACCGATCATGGCTGCCACTCTACAAGATAGGCGCGCGAGATGAAGAGGTTAGCATACAGCTACTAACAAAACAGTATATCCCACTGAACGAAAAGCGTCGATAACTAAAAGCCGATTAATAGGTTAACGGTCGATAAACTATTAAGTAAGGTCAGTACATGTTTTTTTATTATCTAGATATGCATCATTGTGTTAGTACAATGCAAAAATGTATGAATATTATTTTTTCAAAAACTTTTAATTAAGGCCGTTGTAAAATAATAGAGTATTGCTAATTAGCAGTACTATAATTTAATTGAAAGCCGGGTGGTTCTATTACAATAGCTGTTGTTTTTATATTACTTTATTATTAATCACTCTTTACTAGAAACCGTAGTTAGATGATAACCTATGTCGGGTCGTTACCTATATTACGCATGCCATGAACTCTCTCGGTTATTTTTATTAACTTGGAGTCATGTGTTCATATTGATACCTATAGCACTTAAGGTATCTGTGTCTGTCTTTATATTCCATACTTCCGAAATAAAACTAAGCAAACATAACAAAATGAATCTTAATCGCAAGATAATGCATTCGTAACGTTTCATACAGTTTCACTCACGGCCACTGAGCTATCATCTTACCCCAGAAGTATCCTCGCCGCTGATAGCGACACGCTGGAAGTGCGGCAATATGATCTCGTCATCGTCATCATCGGGGACCCTGAGCCGAGCCGCCTCTTCAAACACGGCTGCCGCGCCTGCTTCGCTGCCCGCGAATGAACGCACCGACTGGGCGCATTCCGCCGCCCTGTGTGAATAAACACAGAACATAACATGCTGAACACCAGCCAGATGGTCAGATCTAGCAAGAGGAGCACTTGGTGGTAGTCTGTACCATGCAGTCCATGCCACCCATGATCGAGAACATTGGAAGTACGTGACATGTGGTCGCGATCCTCAGTAGTGAGGGAACGATATAGAAGAAGAGTGTGAATAAAGAAATTTGGGTATTAAGAGCTCTCTGGAACCAAGCCGCCTCATGCACGTACAGTATTTTTTATTTATTGCTTAGATGGGTAGACGAGCTCACAGCCCACTTGGTGTTAAGTGGTTCATGGAGCCCATAGACATCTACAACGTAAATGCGCCACCCACCCTGAGATATAAGTTCTAAGATCTCAGTGTAGTTACAACGGCTGCCCTATACCTTTCAAACCTAAACGAAATACTGCTTCACGGCAGAAATAGGCAGAGCGCTGGTACCTACCCGCGCGGACTCACAAGAGGTCCTACCAGTAAACGACGAAGGATGTCAAGCCGGCTCTAGTAACTCCTGAACAAGCCATTTATTCAACTTTGCTTTATTATATTTAACCATTTTTGAAACGAAGATAAGCGGTGGGACATATTGCATTATTGGGAGTATATTGCATATTGGGAGTGTTGGAATGTTCCTTTGAAAAACGACATGCGCTCGGGAAACACCGTTAACTTGGATTTCTTTCCAAAATCGGACCGTACGTATCAGACAATATGCAAAGAAATGCACTGCGGATGAACGCAGTGATCCGGTGGCTGGCAGTGCGATGGTAAAAACGAAATGATGAGATCATTTCAATGAATTCCTCAGAGCACTCCCCATGGAAAATACTTTACAAAACACAAAGAGAACCGATGTCCTCGGTAGACCCAAAGGTTTCAAACGATCCGTGAGAATGGGATTATAGACAGTCCGAACAATTGTCTTCTATATAGAGTCAAATGCAAGTAGCTGGTATTTCGGAACCCAGAGGCGGAAGCAGTGCTCCACGCGAGGCCGGACTAGTGCTGGTGCTTTGTAAATCAAGTCTTTCTCCAGGCGTGAAATACCGCTTCTGTTGAGGATTTCCAGCATTTTCGACGCCAAACTGGCTTTCCTCCTTAAATTACTCCAATATCCGTCGACCCCAAGTATCCCGTTATTCGTGGAAGGTTGCAGGTATACTCCTTGGAATTGCGGCGCCATGATAAAAGTTGATTCTTTGAAGTGAACGCGCGAAAAGAGGTTCTTTTTCGCAATAAATGCGCAACGTAAGCTAATAAAAGTCCTGATATCAAAAACAGCGATCAAGCATTATCCCTCAATAAACGTAATGACCTTGAGTTTACAAAACTGTCACAATATTTGACTTACAATGAGTAATTACAATTTAATTACTGATGATAAACAAACGGGTACTCCGTGTTATTAGGATCAACAGATTAAGAATCGTAATTCGGTTAATTGATTCAATAAGTGTTGTGTGCTTGTAAAATTAATTACTTTTGTAATTATTGTTCTTCCATTGAACTATTGTCTTTGTTCGAACCGACGATACAGCTCTGATATACTTATGTACAGATTCGGAACTTGTATATGTATTCGGATATATATCGGATGATTATCGCAATTCCTATGACGACAACACCGCAATAAGGAACAAGGTGTGACACAGATATCAAAAAAGTAGAGTTATAAGATGAATAAAAATTTTGTACTTAAGATAATAAATTATTAAAAAGGTAAAAGGTCTTTTTTTATTGCTTGGAATGGTGGACGTCCTCACGTCGCACCTGGAGTTAAGTTGTTACCAGAGCCCATAGACATCAACAGCGTAAATTCAGCCACCCAACTTGAGACATGAGTTAAGGTCTCCGTTTTTACTGCCGCTGTCGCGCCCTTCATAGCGAAATGCGTAACTGTTTCATGGCAGAAATAAGCAGGACGGTGGTACCTACCACCAGTAATTACGAAAACTATACTATAAATAAATAAATAAATATTTACTAACAATCACGCCACGTTAACTGGTCCCATGGTAAGTTCGTAAAGAACTTGTGTTACAGGTACCAGATAACGGAAATAAATGTAAGATTTTTATTATACATACATATTTTTATTATACATAATAATATATACTATGTAACTATACTGAGATCTTAGAACTCATATTTCAAGTAGGATAGCGCATTTACGTTGTAGATGTCTATGGGCTCCAGTAATCACTCAACACCAAGTGGGCTGTCAGCTCGTCCACCCATCTAAGCAATAAAAAAAACAACTATATTTTTTGCGGATTTGATTTTTTTACATAATGGCATTCCTTCATCGCAACACTCAATACGAACTCAACAGGCGTCTTGTCTTTTAAGCCAGGACGACTTCTCATAAATACAGTCGAGTCTGGACCTCCCACATTCAAAACTCGTATGATCCCGCGCTACAAACTCTGTGTAATGGGCTCGATTCAGTGTAATTTGACTCATGCGCATTTAATACGCTCAGCATTTTTAGTGCGTCTCCTCGCATGGAGTATGCTCTGTTTATTGTACTTAGATCTTATTAGAAATCAGTGTGTGGTCCGCAAAAACGATGCCTCTTCATTATGCGTAATAAAATTTCGCGCTCATCTCCGCATCACACTAGTAAGCCGTCCTTGAGACATGAGGCCTGAGATGTAATTGTGTCGGAATTATAAAACCGGAATGCATAATTGCATCGCCTCATGAATATGACTTAAGATATCTTTTTTTTTTTTATTGCCTTTGTAGGCAGACGAGCATACGGCCCACCTGATGGTGAGTGGTTACCGTCGCCCATGGACTTCAGCAATACCAAGGGCAGAGCCAAGCCGCTGCCTACCGCTTAATACTCTCCACAAGCCTCGTTTGAAGAAGGATATGTCATAGCGCTCGGGAAACACCGTGGAGGGGAGCTAATTCCAAGCTCATTCCAGCTCTGCCGCAATTTTTTCATGAATTAGTAAAACAATGTCAACGATCCAATGAATTAGATTGTAAGATCTTATTTATCGGTAGACGCGCCTCCCAATATGATCCACGTTATACATTTGTAATCCAGAAAGCTTTTTTCCGGGATAGTGTTGCATAATACTTGTCACTCCCTGATCCATAACCACCAAATCGATCACGACCCAACTAACGCACTGTCGTATTTATTAAAGTTTCATTTATTAATTAACTTGCTGTGCCCGCAACTTCATCCACGTGGAATTTAACAAAATAGAAATAGCCCAAGTTATTTCTTGTTATACCAGCTATCTGCCAGTGGAAGTCCCGTCGAAATCGATCCAGACGTTCCAGAGAATAGCCGGAACAAACAGACAGACAAAAATTATAGAAAATGTCATTTTGGTATATGTGTCGTATATACATTCATCTATTAAAAATCGGTTATTTTAATTTTACAAACAGACACTTCAAATTTATTTATTTGTATAGAACTATAGATAACAATCAATAAATACCATTACTACCACTCAGAATGTACACTACAAATGATTTCTTCATTTTTTTTTTTTTCCTACCTAAGCTGATAGCCCTAGCGGCGTAACCCTAACGTTAGTAGGTGAGCTCGCGGGGCTCAACCGGAGAGTTGCTAACACTGACCCTAGCAAGAGCAGTGCTTCGCAGAATCTACCACCGGATCGGATACGCGACCCACTGAGAAGATCCGGCGAGAAACTCAGTGGGCTGTGTCTATGGGTTAGTTCGCTCGTCGAGCCCTTCGTCGCAAGCGACGGGTTCGACGAGGACGGTGACCGTTCGACGAGTCGTTTCTTCATATGTAATTGCATCGAGTTTTGATCACCAATATAAAATGGACAAAACACAAAAAAAAAATTTAAACCGATTACATTTTTTTATTTACCTTTTGAACAACGTATGTGAGATTTAAGTAAGATTATAATAACATACCATAAATTCCGTGAATGCGTCCATCTCTTAAATTCAACTTTAGTCCCGAACATTTAGATCTCAATGTAATTTTGACATAATTAAGTGGCTATTGACATGGTTACGGTCACTGTCCGGTCGCCGGGCCGTGTAAAATAGTTGCGTTTGAGTCGTTCTGCCTAGACACCGTGGGCCATGAAACTTGCAATTATGCTAACACAATAACTTCACAATCAATATTTACACAAGGCACTATTAACATAAGCAGTATTCTGTTTTTTTTTTAAATTCGCACACTAAACACACCCTTACTTTTAGTTCCACAAAGTTCCCGATTATTTAGATCATAAATAAGTAATGAAACTTTAACATCGCAAACTATATTTATTTCAGTATTTAAATAAAATATTAAACTAACAATTTTATAACCCAGTCTAAAGTCTCAAATTCGAATTCCAAAGCGAGTGTTTCAAAGTATTATTAAAAAGCAAATGCAAAAAAGGTTCCGCTCAGTAGGTACAACCATACTCTGGGAAATGCAATCATACTACTGAGACGCGACGTCAGGCATCCCCCGCGTCAAGGGTTACCGTCACGCCAAGGTTAATCCAATTGATGGACGTTAGCTGTTTAGTGGTTTATGTCGTAACATGGCGCGTGTAACGATTGTATTTATTTTATTTATGTACAAACAATAATTCTGTTCCGTAAATCCAAATAAAACTGACTACGTTTTTTTTTAAATGTCACTAATCTAATTCTATGAATGAATCATCATCTTTTCCCAATCGCACCACATGACGCCGGAGTAGAAATTCATCCCTACGACCAAGAATCAGTGCGCTCATTCACGTTGTCAGAGCAAATTTCGTATCCTCCCAGTCCACTAACGGTGCTTTTAGGTACCAAGCACCGGCCATCGTTCTCGTCAAATCCGTCGCTTGCGATAAAGGGCTTTTTTTTTTGTCAAGAGGAAATCGCCGGACTTCCGCCCTCCCCTGGGGATGGAAGGCGGGGCATGTCGGAGTCGAACTGACTAAACCTCCTGTCGCTCAACAACCCGCGTCCGAACCTCGCATGAGACAGAACCCATGAAAAGGCAAAGGGGGGAAAGTGAAGCGTTTAGTGCGGAGCACATCTCTCCCATCACCCTCCCCCTCGGGCCGCCGGACCAGCGGTCGTCGGCGCCACGACCACCAGCCCTCTCGGTCGGCAGGCTATCCGGAGCCCGCCTAGATGGCGCCGGTTAGAATGGGTTATCCTACGGAATACCCCGCTGGGTCAGAACCAGCGTGGGTCGAGGATAGCCGGCCTTCCATCACCCGGATGCTCTTGCGTAAAACGCGTGCAGAGCAGCTTGCACGTCGTCTTCNTCGGTCGGCAGGCTATCCGGAGCCCGCCTAGATGGCGCCGGTTAGAATGGGTTATCCTACGGAATACCCCGCTGGGTCAGAACCAGCGTGGGTCGAGGATAGCCGGCCTTCCATCACCCGGATGCTCTTGCGTAAAACGCGTGCAGAGCAGCTTGCACGTCGTCTTCTTAGGCCCCCTTCGCCGGTCCCCAGACCGACAGATGAAGGGGACCCGAAACACTTAGAGGGCCAGGGCTTGGGCGAGATCCGCCTCCCTGGCCCCCGCTCGACGGCGGCGGGCTTGCGCGTCTCTCACGCGCCCCGCCGCTTCCTTCTGCGAGATGGTGCACTCGCAGAAGTCGAGCATCGCCTTCCACGACTCGTCGTCGCCGAGCATCGATGCCACAACACTCGGCAACGACAAGTTGGACACGGCGCCACCCCTCCCATGCGGGGCAGGCGACGAGCGTTTGCTCCGCCGTGTCCAAGTCGCAACCACAATGGTGGCACTCTGCCGTCGGCTCGGCTCCGATCCGGTGCAGGAACTCACCGAAGCAACCATGCCCAGTGAGCACCTGCGTGAGCCGGAAAGTGAGGCTTTCTCTGTCACGATTCACCCAATTCATAAGAACCGGGCGAATCGCCTCGACGGTCCTACGACCAGCCGAAGGATCGGCCAGCCGTCTGGACCATGACCCCAGCACGGACCGCCGAGATTGGGCCCTCCGCGCTCTGACCACACTGGGACAAAGGGCTTGACGAGTAAATTAACCCACAGACAAAGCCCACTGAGTTTCTCGCCAGATCTTCTCAGTGGGTCGCGTTTCCAATTCGGCGGTAGATTCTGCGAAGCACTGCTCTTGCTAGGGTTAGTGTTAGCAACAACGTCAGGTTTGAGCCCCGTGAGCTCACCTACTTGTTAGGGCTATGCCCACTTCGGTTTGACCCCGTGACCTCACCTAGGTATAGCTGAAATAGCCTCTCAAAGCTATCAGCATAGGTAGGAAAAAAGGGCTACGGTGAAATGGTCTCAGGTATTAGGTAGGAAAAAAAAAGAAGTTGTCAGAGAACTTTTTGGCACATATCACGCGATAACAGAATTAACTCGCCACGATGTTTGACTGAGAGCCCAGTGTTGAATTTTTTTTTTATGAATGAAGGATTACTGGTGGCCCGGAGGCCTTTTCAGTTTCACCAAAACGGGTGGGCGGTGTTAGATTTACATTAAGGACACTAAAGCCTAGAGTCCACCGATATTTCCAGTATCTAAAAAGCTTTTCCGAATTGTGATCGCATTGAATATAATTACTTAATAAGAAGAGATATAGTACATTTATGTTTATTTTAAACGCTCATATAGTTAGTATACTTAACTCTAAAAAGTTTCTGCTCGATTCCACATTACAAAAAATGTTCAATGACAAAAATACAAATAATTTTCAACTACAATTGAATATTTATACTTCGGAACTGTACTTAACGTGTGTTTATTATAAGTAAAAAGACGCTATTTTTTACGGTACACCTTTTCTGTACTCTAGATAAGTCCGGTACTGGAAGTCGAAGTTACAAACAGGGCCAAGCCAACAAGGCGATGATATTCATAATGCCTTCATGATTGATCAGTTAAAAGCAACAAAGAAAACTCACTTAACATTCAGCTGCCTCTGTATGAGTAGTTTCTTCTCGATTTGTTCGATTGGAAACTGCGGGACTTCATAAGGCGCGGAGAGTTCATTAGGTAGCTCCCGCGGCGCCTCCGCCCCCACGGCGCTCGTCGGACTTTCACTGCCTGCAATTAAACACATCTTTATAAATAAAACACGATACAACGATTGCATCAATTCTTAGTCTTGTATATGCTCTTTTTTTTATTGCTTAGATGAGTTGCCGAGCTGACAGCCCACCTGGTGTTAAGTGGTTACTCGAGCCCATAGACATCCACAACGTAAATGCGCCACCTACCTTGAGTTTTAAGTTCTAAGGTCTCAAGTATAGTTACCCACCCGCGTGGACTCACAAGAGGTCCTACCACCAGTGCTCTGGTGAATATAGGTAATTGCTTTTAAACATATTAATTGTTAACCTAGAGATCTATGTGTGTCTCTATCTGTGTCTAGAGAGCTACCTATATGTAGATCAAAATTAGGTGAACAAATAAGAAAAAGTTGGCATAATAATAATATAAAAAAGGTATTGGTAAAGGTAACGAATTCTTGCGCCAAGCTTCAGTTCGCAAACTATGGAGAATAGCTGTCAAAGCTTTAATAAACAAGGGCTCCAGATGACAACGACTGCTCAGCCAAGAGTAAACGACTATAATGATGGAAAAGGTATTGATTATATAAATGAGCTCTAGCAAAATCTGTAAGCGTTTATGTAAGTCAACATACAATACGGCGCGTGTGTTGCCAGCTACGATTCGACACACGAAATTAAATTATTTTGCATAGCAACCACGAACTTCCGTTTCCAACTGAAATATAATAGACTAGCGGCCCGCTCCGGTTTTCGCAGGGCACGCGATGTAAAGAATATTTTAGGTAATTTTTTACACCTTGGGTTACATTATTGAGTTTTAGTACAGATCCCTAATTTTTTTCAAAAAAGGTTATTATTGAAAGAATTTTTCAAATCGGTTCAGTAGTTTCGGAGCCTATTCAATACAAACAAACCTTTCCTCTTTTTAATATTAGTATAGAAAAAGTGGTTGAGTCAACCCCTGCCCTTGACCTTCTCTAGTTGATAACATCCGTGAAGACTGCTCCTACGAAGATAAATTAGCAAGAAACATAATGAGTAAGTCCACTAATGGCTTACTACACTACCATTGTATACATTGTTATATTTATTTTACTGGTGGTAGGACGTGTTGTGAGTACGCACGGGTAGGTACTCTGCCTATTTCTGCCGTGAAGCAGTAACGCGTTTCGGTTTGGGACAGCCGTTGTAACTATAACGTTAGAACTTATAGCTCAAGGTAGTTGGCGGAATTTACGTTGTAAATGTCTACGGGCTCAGAAAACCACTTAACACCAGGTGGGCCGTGAGCCAGTCCAACCACCAAACCCTTCGATCAACAATAGTAACTAGATAAAGGGATACGTACAAAATTAAAGCAAAAACTGTCCGCGTGAATATATACTTATATAGCTACATTCGTTTACTAACAAACGGAGAAAAAAGTTTTGAAACACTTTTACTTTCAAACTAATAACAACTATGGCTCCTAGTAATAAAGTCACAAATCTCCAAAACATTATCTAATACTTACGATCATTCGTCACATAAAACGAGCAAAGCAATAAATTACTCCTGTCACTTACCAATAAAAAGACATAGTTTAAACAACTTTTAATGTTAAATCAATCTTAACAGGCAACAAATAAAGTAACTTTTCTCTTAATTGCTCTGAGAACTAACATCGTTTTGCTTTATTTATTTTTGCTTCTTGAAATGCCGATTTCTATTTACTACAGGAGGTAAGGGAGTCGCGCTTAACACTAAAATAATTTATTAATGAATTAAAGTAAAAGTTTAGTTGTTTACTTTTTATGTTTTGGAAATGTATGTTTGTTAGTANTATTTACTACAGGAGGTAAGGGAGTCGCGCTTAACACTAAAATAATTTATTAATGAATTAAAGTAAAAGTTTAGTTGTTTACTTTTTATGTTTTGGAAATGTATGTTTGTTAGTATCTATACATTACTTATTATTTTATTAGCGTTACGTTTTTGTGTAATATATATTTTTAAGTTTTCGCGACCAGTGCACATAATAAAACTACGTTTAAACGGTTTCAAGCGTGGTATTTTTATTACAATGTTTCGGCCACATTTCAGTAGCCGTGAGCACGGAAGGCAACGGTGTCCAGTGTCAATAAGCGGAGTTCTTAGCTGGCTTATAAAAGTCATCTCTTGTTTCTCTGGCGACAATCGAGATCCATTCTGCACACGTGATTGCTAGGAAAGCTAAAATAAAAATGGAAAGCTAAGTATCTAATGAGAGTCCAACAAACAGACACAATAGCAGCATTAACCAATTTTAACCAACTAATTTTGAAGTGCAGCTAACAAATTTTAAAAAATTATTACAACACAAATCTACTCCATGCATTTACTGTTCTGTTAAGCAAAAGTTTGTCCATGTGTTGGTCGAGCCTTGGCCAACATTTGTAGCGGTGGTTAAAAATCGGTAATTTTGTTCAAAATTTAATATTATTTATAAGTTTAAAGCTTACAATATAGTTTATACTTCATGTACTTACCGAAAGTAAGATACTCCGGCCGTTAAATTGCTTTTTCGGGCTTTATTTTTGCAACTTTTGAATACACACTGCGGTATTGTGAGACGGGTTGACATTGGCTGTGTTTGATGTGAACTAAACAAAATAAGAGCTCACATTTCAAGTGCGCTGTTATTTGACGAGACGGATTTTATGCACCGACCCGAAATCTAGTTACTATTGTTGATCGAAGACCAAACCAATAAAAAAAATTAACAGTCGTCGTGGCCTAAAGGATAAGACGTCCGGTGCATTCGTTGTTGCGATGCACCGGTGTTCGAATCCCGCAGGCGGGTACCAATTTTTCTAATGAAATACGTACTTAACAAATGTTCACGATTGACTTCCACGGTGAAGGAATAACATCGTGTAATAAAAGTTAAACCCGCAAAATTATAATTTGCGTAATCACTGGTGGTAGGACCTCTTGTGAGTCCGCACGGGTAGGTACCACCGCCCTGCCTATTTCTGCCGTGAAGCAGTAATGCGTTTCGGTTTGAAGGGTGGGGTAGCCGTTGTAACTTTACTGAGACCTTAGAACTTATATCTCAAGATGGGTGGCGCATTTACGTTCTAGATGTCTATGGGCTCCAGTAACCACTTAACACCAGGTGGGCTGTGAGCTCGTCCACCCATCTAAAAAACAAAAAAAAACAAAAAAAATAATAATAATAATAATAAAAAAAAAGGTACAGTACCGACTGTCAGTAAGACACTTCTGAGTCCGGACGCTACATGGCTCATTGAAGCAATTATGTCGATTTCTGTTACTGAGGCGCCGGAATATCTAGTAGAATTTGGGAAAGACAGATCCGAAGATACTGAGAATTAGTCTATTTCCAAAAGACCTGAAGTACTAAAACATCATCATCATCATTCTCCTGCCCTTCTCCCAGTCACCTGGGGTCGATGCAACATGTTTTCTCCTTCCATACTCCTCTATCATATAGCATTTCTTCGCTCACTCCCCTCTTACACAAATCGTCTTTCACGCAATCCATCCATTTCTTTTTAGGTTTACCTCTTCCTCTAAAGCCTTCCACATTAATAGTTAAAACTCTCTTAACAACCTCATTGTCATTTCGTGTCTCACATGTTCAAATCACCCCAAACTAATATACTAAAACATACATTAAAAACAAAAGAAGGCAAAGTTAGGCAATCCATGTGCTTAGTAACAGTAATCTTACTTAATTACATCATTGCGTCACGTACTGGTGACCTACATGGCTGTCAAAGAATTCACTCTTTGATTCTCGTTCGTAAAGTAGAGATTGCATTTTTATAATTTACTAGCGGCCCGCTCCGGTTTCGCTCGGGTCCTTAACAAAAATTTTAGGTAAATTTTTTACACCTTTGGTTACATTATTAGAGTTTTAGTAAGAATCCATAATTTTTGTTAAGAAAAAAATACAGCCTATGTCAATCAGGGATAGCGTAGCTTCCAAACAGTGAATGAATTTTTCAAATCGGTTCAGTAGTTTCGGAGCCTATTCAATACAAACAAACAAACAAATCTTTCCTCTTTATAATATTAAGTATAGACTACTAGCTTTTGCCCGCGACTCCGTCCGCGTGGAATAGTTATTTTAGAATAACGCTAAATTTTACCCACCTCTTCATTTACGTAGAAAGTGAAAATATTTTTGAATTATAGAATGTTAAGGAATTATTTAAATCCCTATTTTGAAACATTATTCATTGGTGCTCCATTTGTATTGGCCTTACCGTGATGTTATATAGCCTATATATAGCCTTCCTCAATAAATGACTTATCTAACACTGAAATAATAAAATACGAACCAGTAGTTCCTGAGATTAGCGCGTTCAAATAAACAAACTCTTCAGCTTTATTATATTAGTATAGATAATAGAAAAGCAAATCGATTTGCAACGTTTTGTAGAGGTAGTTACAACAGAAACTGGACACGGCTTTATTAATACAAAATTAAACATGTGCAACGCAATTCGAATGATTAGATTCAAACGAGACGTGTTATGATTCACAAGCACTTACATATAAACAATACGAAACTGATACCAAGTCGTAATAATTCGTATAATCTTTTGTAAAATATCCACTCTTTGTTTCAAAATCAGTATCTATATATTAATACGTGAAGCAAAAACTTTGTATCCCTTTTTACGAAAATTGCGCGGACGGAGGAGTATGAAATTTTCCACACTTATAGAGAATATAGAGAAGTGTACAATGCTAATATATTTTTAAAGTAATACATAAAAGATATATTAAATCAATAAAGAAAACATTACACACACTACATACCATGTATTTGACGCACATACGCATGCATACAATAATTTATTGTCAAACTTTTGTTCTTGACGTTTGTTGTCAAATTGAGAACAGATTCAATATTGTTTGTCTTTGTTAATATTTTTTATAGTGTAGTTTTGGCGAAATTTGTGATTATAGAAGTATAAAACACAATTAATGATAGTCGAATTTCGACTACTGCGAGACTTCTAGTGAAAATTGATGTGT